CTAATGATGGCCAACTGGGGAGTACCATCTAATGATGGCCAACAGGGCAATGGCCAACTGGGGAGTACCATCTAATGATAGCCAAATAAGGAGTACCATCTAATGATGGCCAACTGGAGAGTACCATCTAATGATGGCCAACTGTGCAATGACTAACTGGGGAGTACCATCTAAGGATGGCCAACTGGGGAATGGATAACAGAGGAGTACCATCTAAGGATGGCCAACTGGGGAATGGATAACTGGGGAGTACCCTCTAATGATGGACAACTGGGCAATGACTAACTGAGGAGTACCATCTAATGATGGCCAACTGGGGAGTACCATCTAATGATAGCCAACTGGGGAATACCTTCTAATGATGGCCAACTGGGGAGTACCATCTAATGATAGCCAAATAAGGAGTACCATCTAATGATGGCCAACTGGAGAGTACCATCTAATGATGGCCAACTGGGCAATGGCTAGCTGGGGAGTACCATCTAATGATGGCGAACTGGGGAGTACCATCTAATGATGGCCAACTGGGGAGTACCATCTAATGATGGCCAACTACAGAGTACCATCTAATGATGGCCAACTGGGGAGTACTATCTAATGATGGCCAACTGGGGAGTTCCATCTAATGATGGCCAACTGGGAAGTACCATCCAATGATGGCCAACTGGGCAATGGCTAACTGGGGAGTACCATCTAATGATAGTCAACTCGAGAGTACCATCTAATAATGGCCAACTGGGGAGTACCATCTAATGATGGCCAACTGGGGAGTACCATCTACTGATGGCCAACTGGGGAGTACCATCTAATGATGGCCATCTGGGGAGTACCATCTAATAATGGCCATCTGGGAAGTTCCATCTAATGATACCAACTGGGAAGTACCATCTAATGATGGCCAACTGGGCAATGGCTAACTGGGGAGTACCATATAATGAAAGCCAACTGGGGAATACCATCTAATGATGGCCAACTGGGGAGTACCATCTAATGATGGCCAACTGGGGAGTACCATCTAATGATGGCCAACTACGGAGTACCATCTAATGATGGCCAACTGGGGAGTACTATCTAATGATGGCCAACTGGGGAGTTCCATCTAATGATGGCCAACTGGGAAGTACCATCCAATGATGGCCAACTGGGCAATGGCTAACTGGGGAGTACCATCTAATGATAGCCAACTGGGGAGTACCATCTAATGATGGCTAACTTGGGAGTACCATGTAATGATAGCCAACTGGGGAGTACCATCTAATGATGGCCAACTGGGGAGTACAATCTAATGATAGCCAACTTGGGAGTACCATCTAATGATGGCCAACATCGGAGTACCATCTAATGATAGCCAACTGGAGAGTACCATCTATTGATGGCCAACTGGGCAATGACTAACTGGGGAGTACCATCTAATGATAGCCAAATGGGGAGTACCATCTAATGATGGCCAACTGGTGAGTATCTTCTAGTGATGGCCAACTGGGGAGTACCATCTAATGATGGCCAACTGGGGAGTACCATCTAATGATGGACAACTGGGCAATCGCTAACTGGGGAGTACTATCTAATGATGGCCAACTGGGGAGTACCATCTAATGATAGCCAACTGGGGAGTACCATCTAATGATGGCCAACTGGGGAGTATCATCTAATGATGGCCAACTGGGGAGTACCATCTAATGATGGCCAACTGGGGAGTACCATCTAATGATTGCCAACTGGGCAATGACTAACTGGGGAGTACCATCTAATGATAGCCAACTTGGGAGTACCATCTAATGATGGCCAACTGGGGAGTACCATCTAATGATAGCCAACTAGGGAGTACCATCCATTGATGGCCAACTGGGGAGTACCATCTAATGATGGCCCACTGGGCAATGGCTAACTGGGAGTACCACCTAATGATGGCCAACTAGGGAGTGCCATCTAATGATGGCTAACTGGGGAGTACCATCTAATGATATCCAACTGGGCAATGACTTACTGGGGAGTACCATCTAATTATGGCCAACTGGGGAGTACCATCTAATGATAGCCAACTAGGGAGTACCATCTAATGATGGCCAACTGGGGAGTACCATCTAACGATGGCCCACCGGGCAATGGCTAACTGGGGAGTACCATCTAATGATGGCCAACTGGGCAATGGCTAACTGGGGAGTTACAGAAACCGAAGACAAATCTGAAACTTATCCAGTCCTCGGAAGAACCAGGGCTCCAATTAGGAGAAGTATGACGCGATGCAGCCGAATTCGCAAGGAAGCTACAGAGCCGATGCCCCTTCTTCAACCGAGAAAAACTAAATTCACAGCCCCAAAACTACTGTCGCAAAATAACCTATCCTCATAGGAACATGGAACGTCGGAACACTATGGGAAGCGGGGAGGTGTGCACAGGCAGTGAAAGAAATGCAACAGTATCATCTTACAGTGCTTGGCATGTGCGAAACAAGATGGAAAACCTTTGGAGAGACAAAATTTTAAGACGGGAGAAACACTGTTATACTCGGGAAAAGAAAATGAGGACGACCCACGAGATGCAGGCGTAGCCTTGCTATTGAAAAAGGATGCAACAAAAAGCCGGATGTAATGGAAACCTATGTCTGATCGAATAATTAAAGCTAGATTTGAATCCAAGTTTCAAAAGACCTCCTTTATCATGTGCTACGCTCCTAAGAACAACGCAGACGAGGAAGAAAAAGACCGCTTCTACCAAGAGCTTCAAGAAAAAAAAAGGAGGAAGTGGCGCTGGGTGGGACACACGCTACGAAAGGCTCACCCAAATGTTACACGCCAAGCGCTTGAGTGAAACCCCCAGGGACTGCGGAAGCGAGGGCGCCCAAGACAGACCTGGAGGAGGAGTCTTCTTGAAGATCTGAAGCCAACAGGGATGTCTAGGGAGACTGCAAAATTGATAGCCGTGGATCGGATGAAATGGAAGGAAATGGTTGATGCCCTATGTTCCATAAGGTGCAAAGAGGACTAAGTCAAGTAAGTCAAATCAGTTATGAAAACTGAAATGTTTTTAAATGAACATTTGCAGTGACTTACTAGTCACTGAACAGGTTAGGCTAGCAGTTAGACTAAGATTTTAAATGGCTCTATAAGTTTACTATTCAATTCCTTTTTTAAACTAAGATGCAAACTTACAAATTTAATACAAAAACCACTGGTTCTTAATCTTTTGGACGTAAAAAACCACTGACATAAACATACATTTTTAAATTAGTAAATGTTACATGTAGGCCTATACAAATAAACAAGACGTTATTTTAATAATAAACAGTAGACTAAAGAGATGAACTACAAACTCTTCATATAAAAAAAGTTTATTGTCTAGGTACTTAAATTAACCAAAGCTTGATGTTACATATAATAGCATTAGTCAATGTTTATATTTTAAGCATATGAGGTATATAAACTTTATATAACAGCATATTAAAAAACACAATGTTTAGAAAGACAGATCTAGTTAGATTCATTTTCAATGAAAAAAAATTGTACAACTCAATTATCATGAGTAAAAATAGTAGCTGGTCCTAGCACTTAATTATTATCTAGTGGACATTAAAATTTGAGAAACTAAAATTATTTTAAGTTAGCTTTTTAATCTTGAACTGAACATTAACTTCTGAAATCTAAAAATATTGAACATTTTTATCAACAATGTGTGCTAAGATAAACTGAAAATACTTCCCTTTGATTCAATACACCAAATAACTCTGAAGTCCTATCTCTAAAATTGTGCTTGAACATACAATGTTCTAATTGTTCAAAAATCTTAAACCAGCATTATTGTACAATCCAATTCACTAAAGAAAAATTAAACTCGTTTTTTTTTAAATATTGTTATAATTTGCAAATATAAGACAAAAGGAAGATTCAAGCAGTTAATACAATTGTAATATTTTAAATGTTGACTGACTTTGTACATTCTTAAACAAACGGAGTAGGCTACATTGGAATGAAAATTTAAATAAACCGGGAGTGATCTCCCCTAAACTTTCTCGAATATTCTTATATAACTCGGAATATAGACATGACTTTTAATTTCTTTTTTAAGTTTTAAAAATAGAATAGAATCTCGTAAAAAAGAATTGCGCACCAAGCGAACGCCAAAACAAAATGTGCATAATAGTGCGCAATATTATTAGTACTTTTTAAATTTACGAGAAATCGGAAATAGCGTAAATTAGTACTTCCCGTCAACGGAAATTACTCAAAATTTTACAGAAGGTAGAGAATTAGATCTTTTACTAACATGTGAAATTTCATTTATCTATCTGAAATAGTACTCAAGTTATAGGCTTTTTAAAAATTTCAAAGTAGAAAAAGTATAACTTCCGTTTATCGGAAATCGCTCAAAAGCTTATACGGATCTACGATTTTGATAAAATACTTATATATGAAATTTTATCAACCTAACTATAACGGTACTCAAGTTATCGTGTTTACACATAGACACACACATGCACACACAGACAGACACACAGACATACGGACAATATTGCAAAATTATGTTTTTCCGTATCAGTGAGGTGTAAAACGTCGAGATTTGAAAAAATCTCGATTTTTTTTTTTTTCATGATTACAATACTTTCTCTATACTTCGTATATACGCGAAAGTAAATATTACGTTAATAAAATAAAAGCCAAATTTATAATAAAATATGTCTTACAAGATATCTTTTTGGTCAAGACTCAGCTATCAAGACCCTGCTATAATAAACAATGTTGATATCCTTCAAGGTGAAATACCCGGAAACAACTGCACAAATTTACCCAGTTATGTCCGTGTTTTAATACACTTTTAATACACTTGGCACAGAATCACAGATAGCTGATAGAGGTCCTCTCCATAAATGACGTCAAACATTTTTGACGTGTTTTACCGGATGGTAAAGTACAATTCAATTACACGATGCGCACTTGCAGCAACAGGGGCTAAATGTTGAGCACGTACCAGATCGCACCGATGCCAAACGATGCGATACAGTAGCCAGATTTGTCAATAAGAAGCATGAGGTTTTTTGTGTTATAAATTTGTATTAACCGCTTTGCTTGTGACCGGCTAACCAGGTCCGGCTAGATTTCCTAACATTTACTACCGTCGATAAGATGGGAAGCTTCTTTGTTTAAAGGCGATATTGTGGAGGTTCAGCCAAACCTGTTCAACCTAGATGAGAAAGATGTTGTTTAAAAGGTTTGACAAAGCTGTGATTATGATATTGTTAGTTTTCTCTGTGTTTTTTTTAATATTAGCTTTGTCTTTCTAAGACGAATTAAAAGTGATTCTCACCCACTACCATCACCAAGGCTATGTAGGCCTACAATTGATGTCTGAGGTCTATGGAGCTGAGTTTCCCTTGAGCACTGCCCCCCCCCCCCCCACCCCCATGTACCCCACCCCCTCCTCTACCCCGGACAAAATTTTTAAAAATATAATTTATTGACCTACAGGTCTCCTGCCGGGGTTTTAAAGCCTCTGAAGGGTTAATTTAAAAATGCCTTTACACTAGCCCTCCCTAAAGTATTGTCAGTCATTATGGCAGGTGACGACGATAAAAGATGTGGTCGGTCCAGTCATTTATGATCATCATACCTTTCCCCGTTTCTGCCCAAGACACAGGGGCAGATGAAGCAATCTGTTTCAATGACCGCGGTCAGGACTATGCCCAGCCGCCTTTGTTTCCCTAACGTGAGTTAGGATTCAGGGAGTCACATGGTTAGGACTCAGGAACTTTTTACTCACTTCAACCCGGTTTCGAACTCGACACTTTTTGGGGTTAGCAGTCTAGGGCTCTACCGTCTGATCTACTTTCCCCTAACATCACTCAGTCGCCTACCTTAGAGCTGGGTGTACTCGAGCACGGGATCCGAACTCTAGACTCTCAAATTAGCAGTCGGGCGCTCTACCGTCCGGTCATGCCGTCCCATTAACAGATTGCACAACGTTTTAATTATAATCTAAGTTAGAGTAGTTGTTTTAATTTATTTTATATAAAATATATTTGTTAAATATTTGTGTAAGGTCAAGTTCTGCTTAGAGGTATATTTTGAGAACATGGGATTACCTTTCGTGTTACTGCTGCTAGTTGGGACAGCTACCAGTTCTATCAAGGTAAGTCACAGGTAACTAAACTATACCAATGATCATCATCTTTTTCCGTTCATGCCCAAGTGTCCAAGACCCATGCGGAAGGTGAAGTAGAGTTCTTCTACTTCAGAGACATATTAAAGGATAGTTTGGTTAGCACTATGCCCAGCCGCCTTTGTTTCCCGAACGTGAGTTAGGTACCCATCAGAGTTGGGTAGACTCAGGGGCATTCTACTGACTTGAATCTGGATTCGCACTCGAGACTTTCGGGTCAGCAGTCTTGCTCTCCGCCGCTAGGCCACGCTGTCCCATTCTACCAATGATACGGAGTTAAGAACAAGAAATAATCCTCTTTAGACCTAGCGATCCATTAGGCAGATGAGGCAAAGTTCATATGTTTCTTTACCTCTGCATATGAAGGGATAATGTGGTCAGAAGTATACCCAGCCGCCTTTACTTTTACTAATTTGAGTCAGGTACTCATCAAAGCTGGATGAACTCAGTGACGTTTCACTGATTTGAACTTGGATTCGAACTCGAGACAAGCGGTAGAGCGCTTGCCTGCTTACCCGAAAGTCTCGAAATTATTTGTAGCTGTAAGAATCATGTGTAGCTGTAACAATTATTGTGTAACTGTAACAATTATTAATTCTTACAGTTCGACGCCCCCTTAGACTACAACCTATTTTTCTGGCAAGGAATCAACTCCTTACAATACCACTTGGACATTCGTATCCCACGTGACTCCCGCAGGCGAGTGGCTGTTCACATGTTTCAATAGATTAAAACAAAACCCACACTTTTTTGTATTATTTTACTTCAAACAATCCTCACTAGCTTTCATCTTTTTATTCGCAAACAATCTTCACTCTAGATTTCAGCCTAAAGCCATCATTTTATTCATAAACAATCTTCACTCTAGATTTCAAACAATAGCCATTATTTTTATTCACAGTCTTTCCTCTAAATTTCAGGCAATAACCATTACTTTATTCACAAAATATCCATCGTGAAGTATAATCCAGCTTAGCGATATTTTTTTATGTTAAGACAAACAGGAAAATGTTATTTTAAGAATTTACGCCATGCGAATTAATTATCATAGTTAGCTGCAAACAATTATCGCCATATAGTTTTGAAAAATTTCTATTTGTTTTGTTTTTAAACTATTTGTTTTGAGAACGTCGAACGACTGCTCACCCGTATGTATTTACTAAGAATGCCATGCTCACGCCCGTAGACGCGTGACCCACATAGAATAAGCAGCTATCTTATTCTTCGTTAATACTAACAAGATAGAAAGCGATTTCCTCAACTCAAATGAATATTACGTCATTTTACGCCATATGGCCCGATGACTCCTATTTCAGCCTGTTTTTCTTTCTGGATTTGCTGATTTGCTTCCATGGCTGGTGTCCGCCCAAGAACAAACCTCAAGGCAGAAGCTGTTTGATTTTGGAGTTTTCTCTCTTAGATGGGTTACCGTCCCCAGCTAACTAGCCTCGTCTGCCGCAGGTTCGAACCCTGATATTTTGGAATATCCAACCGTGGGTTCTCCTGCCAGACCATTCCGTTCCCTTGAGTATCTATCAGACTACGGCCGAGGAAACTGAACGCGACATTTCACATAAGAACTGACCATACAATTATTTTTAATCTCAACAGTTTTTAACCTCAATAAGTTCTCTCTCTCTCTCTCTCTCTCTCTCTCTCTCTCTCTCTCTCTCTCTATATATATATATATATATATATATATATATATATATATATATATATATATATATATATATATATATATATATATATACTTAAACCAAACCCCTCCCACGAAAGCTTCAAGTGCCTTCTCCCTTGCGACCCCCATCCCCAGGGCTGTAGAAAAGAATATCTGAATAAAATTTAGATACGTTGAAACAGATAAACTCCCATTGGTCTGAAAAGGCACTCATTTTATACAATTCAATGTGTTTTTAACACTCTCATGATAATTCAAACGGCAGCAATTAGCATTAGGTACTTGAATTTTTTTTGTAAATTATACACACAATGATTCATTTTATTAATTTTCTCATTGATAAATCAGTTTTTTACAAGCTTTTATTAAACTCACTTCCTCTGTCTGTCGTCAGTCTGTCGTCAGTCTAGATCGAAACGCACGTGCGAAATTGCAGGCAGTTCTAACTGACAGATACGGTTCGTAATTGATACGTGAGTCAAGACATAAAGGCAATGCATCGTGACATTCAATTTGACTTGATTGGGTTCCTAATTAACTTTTTATGAAGTAATTAAAATTTGGACTGAATTAGTAGGCAGTTCTATCCACACGCGTCATCACGGCCGTGTAGGGCGTGGAGCGTGGAGGTTCTACGTCAAAAGCGCGTTATCACGTTCAATAGGTGCGCGATGGTTTTTAGTTGGGTCAGCAGTCTAGTTCTTTACCTCTAGTCTACGCCATCCATAATATACGCGTCATTAAGGCCCTCTTGGGCGTTGAGCGAGGAGGGCTCTACGATAAGACAGGGCAGAGAAAGGAAATAAAACGTGTCATCACGTTCAATAGGCGCGTAATGGGTCTCTTCCTAAATATTAGTAAAGGTATCCAATAGATACTAAAGTTATCCACGCTTTTCTTTATAGTAATTTAAATAGTAGTGTCTAATATTTAGGAAAAGACCCACGCTTTTCTTTATAGTTTTTTAAATAGTAGTGTATAATTTATTTTCTACTTTCTAGTGCATTATTACATAAAAGCTTGTTATTTTGTATGAATTTTTTTTTAATTGTGTTAACAGATTTACAATTGAGTTCTGCACTAATGTGCTCTGTACCATGGACAAAGTGCTTCACTTCAGGGCGCGGTTCGATAAACAGCACGTGGCCAGGTCGCATCGGCTGAACGGAAAATGGAGTTCGGAGCTGACAAGTGGAGTGATGCCTTTTGAGAGAGGGGGCGAATTCTCCATGAAAATTATCACCGGGCAGTCTAGATTTGAGGTACGGGAACGGTGGATCTACGGGGTTGCTATGAATGGTAATGAGGGAAGTGTTTCCACCCGCAACCCACCCACCCCATAAAAAATACGATTAAAATTGGAAAATAATTCTGAGAAATATATAGTTGTGAAGATCCATTTCGGACTTTGTGGCCTACGGGACAGCTGAAGTAGAGTTCACCTGTTTCCGTGATCTCGGTATGTGAAAGGATAGTGTGATCCGCACTATGCCCAGTGTGAGGGGGGGTGATAATGATGAACCCGGGCCTGGTATAGTTTTGTGTGAAATCACCACACACAAGTCCAATTCAGGACATGATGTTCTTTATTTACACAAAACAACTTTCTACTTCTATCTAACTAGTCTATACTATATGATGTCTACTAATACAACTAACTAAACACTTCTATCTAACTGCGCATCCCTAACACACTATCTACCTCTAACTTTTACATCTTTACCCTTGCGCTACTTATCACCGTCTGCTTTCTACCGATATCTATCACCGTCTGTTCTCCCTCGCTCCAGTGGTCAGCTGATGATCTCACGTGACCGGGTTAGCTCCTGTGTTTCTATTGGTCTGTTTAACTAACTAAGCTATACTCTGTTTCTACCATCTACTTAACTTCTAAACTAAACTAGCGTCATCCCACCCAGCTGCTTTTATTTTTCCTAACGTGAGTTAGGTACCCCCAGCAGAGGCGTAGCGACCCTTCCCGGCGCCCGGGGACATACTTTCAATTTGGCGCCCCCTTGGGAGCAAATTTTCGATTTGCACCCCCCCCCCGAACTTTTCATTTGCACCCCCCCTCAAACTTTCGATTTGCACCCCCCCCCCTCGAACTTTTCATTTGCACCCCCCCCCCCCTTAAAATTTCGATTTGCACCCCCCCCCCCTCGAACTTTTCATTTGCACCCCCCCCCCTCAAACTTTCGATTTGCACCCCCCCCCCTCGAACTTTTCATTTGCACCCCCCCCTCACACTTTCAATTTGGCGCCCCCCCTAAGGTCGGCGCCCGGGGACATATGTCCCCCCCCCCGCCCCCCCCCCCTCGCTACGCTACTGACCCCCAGTGTTGGATGGACTCAAGATGGTTCTACCACTTTACCCAGGAACACTGGCTCAAATCTTTCGGTTTGGAAGACGAACACGCTACCATTCGACCACGCTGTCCCACGAGAAAAATATAGGCCTATCGAAATTTACTAAATCATTTTTATAATTTTTTTTTAGCTTTTTTTTTTAGCTCACCCGGCGCGCGTCGCTGCTATCCAGTCCATCCCACCAGAGCGGCGCAACATTTCACCAGCACTTTATCAGTCGTGTATTTTTTAGATGTGTGACCTAGTTTTCTAGAACTGAGTTACTTAAGTGTAAACATCGTTTTTGGGTGCGAGTTTGTCCACACTCCCGCCCAGTGGGCGTGCTGCGTGAACGCCTTGTGTGTACGTTAACCACCCTCTGTAATAGTGAGGTACAGCACACCACCTCGGCGACTGCTCAGGTGTCATTAACGCCAGTTACACTACTGCAGGAGCGCCTGATGTATCACTTTGCTTGCTTTGTAGTGTCCCACCGTGTCCCTGGTATAGGGTGCTCTTTAAAATTAAAGTAGGCGCAGTAGTGCTCACGGGGGAACACAGCGAGCTCATGGACGCGCCTGATTGGACAACGATTATAGTAACCCACCACAATGAATGGCGTTCTTTAAAACGAACATCGGCGTTATAGTACACACGTAGGAGTGACTCCTTCGCTCCATCCCCCAACCCCACCCCGAGACATGTCTCCAACATATCCATCCATTAATTGTTGTTTTTTATGTCCTCAGATCTACATTGACGACGTATTATTCTGCCAGTATAATGGCGTTTTTCATAGAGAAGCGCAATATGTTATGAAGATTTCTGGAAAAGTGGAGATTACACATTGGACTGAATTTGTGAGTTGTTGTTTTTTACTTTCTCGTATATACGAAGTATATAGAAAGTATTGTAATAGTGCAAAAAAAATCGAGATTTTAACAAATCTCGACGTTTTACACCTCACTGATACGAAAAAACATAATTTTGCAATCTTGTCCGTATGTCTGTGTGTCTGTGTGTGTGTCTGTGTGTGTGTGTGTGTGTGTGTCTGTGTGTAAACACGATTACTTGAGTACCGTTACAGCTAGGTTGATGAAATTTCATATATAAGTATTTTATCAAAATCGTAGATCCGTATCAAATTTTGAGCGATTTCCAATTACCGGAAGTGGTACTTTTTCTACTTTAAAATTTAAAAAAGCCAATAACTTGAGTACTATTTCAGGTAGATAAATGAAATTTCACATGTAAGTAAAAGATCTAATTCTCTACCTTCTATTAAATTGTGAGTAATTTCCGTTGAACTGAAATAATAATTTACGCTATTTCCGATTTCTCAAAAAACGCACGTAAATTTATAAAGTACTAATAATATCCCGCACTATTATGCACATTTTATTAGGCGTTCACTTGATGTGCAATTCTATTTTTTTTACGAGATTCAATTCTATTATAAAAAGTTTAAGTAATTAAAAATGGATTACAAATATTGTCTATGTCCTGAGTTGCCATCCCTAGTAGTTTTATATTAGAATATCCGAGAAAGTAAGTTTGGGGGAGATCACTCCAGGTTTTTTTTCTATGTTCGGATGTTTTTCCCTGCCTTAGGAATTTTTTTGTCTGTATGTGGGTATGTCAGCGTTTCATTTTTCTGTGTGCGTTGTTTATAATTTTCGGATTTTTCGAATGTCAATTTTTCTGTTGTTTTTTTCTTTTAGGTGGATAAATCAATGGTAAGCTTCGTTTCTTATTAATAAGCTGTAGCTTCGCAAGGTGGGGGTGATGGTACTAGTCTGGTACTAGTACTAGACGGTACTGACAACCACCCCCCCCCCCACCGTCAAGAAACTCTTCGTGATATCCCCTGACCGTCAGCCCGTCCATCTCTCTGTCTGTCTCTTTGTTTCCTTTTTTGTTCCGTTATTTGTTTCTTTGTTTGTTTCTTTGTTTGTGGCTAATCTTGTACCGCAATTTTAAAACCATCTAATGCAGCGATTTGGGTTTTTTGAGATCCATTCGTCGCTGATGATAGTGCAAGTATGAACGTTTATTTAAAAAACTACTCAATTCAATTTTTGAAAGTGAAAATAACAAGAATAAATAACAGCAATTGCTCGATCAGCTATCTAACGATGGTGAACTGTTGGTAACGCTGTTGGTTTCTTGTCTGAGGATCGACCACGAAAGAGGCAGAAAATTATCTTTTTGACATCGAATGTTCTCGTGTTTTTAAACAAAAATACTTTTACTTGTATTTGGTGGAGACTTCATTGAGAACGAATAGCTCAAAAGTAGAAAAGAAAAAAGTGTGAAAAAAAACTTTAAGCATGATAACTATTCAAATTGACTGAAATTTTAAAACTAAGTACAACTAATTATTTTGCTTTCTTTTATAAACGCATTGGTCGCCAAAATAAGCAATAGATTTAATGAGGGCTCGGTGCTTTTATAAAGAAAGCAAGTTGTTTTTTTAAATTGTTTTTTTTGTCGGAGCATAATATAAACGCTTATTATTACAGTTTGTTGTTGTTGTTGTTGTTTTTTGTTATTTTTGTTATTTTTTTGTTATTTTTTTCTTGAATTCCCGCTGCCCCTTCTACTATACTTGCTTTACCTTTAAACTGTTTTTAAATATTTGTTACAGTTAAGTCCCGCGGTTACCTACTGGGGATTTAAGCGCAGCCCCATAGCCGGTGATAGACTACAAATTGATATTCTATTGGCTGCCAACTGGAAAAGTTTGGGAAAGTAATGTTTAATTTTTAATTCCTTCTTTTCATTTATAATTGTAATACAGTAATCTCTTGGTTATCGCGGTTAATAGGGATCAAAGCCGGCCACGATAGGTGTAAAACCGCGAGGCAGTGTTACTCTCACGTTTTGAACATTTTTTCGTATGTATAATATCAATAGGTGTATGAAATCATATAAGTGCATATGTTATTGTTGAAATTTTAAAGAATAGTTTCAAACCTTAAATAAAATATTAATTGTATAAATAACATACATAAATTAATGTATAAATAATGTTTAAAAAAAAGATACGTGTGTGTGAATAACATAATAAGATGTAACTAAAGTATACCTACATACTATAATTTTTTAGAACTCTTTTATTCTCTTAACAAAATACGTAACTCGCATAAGACAATATCTTAATGTTTATCTATGTCGATGAAACACCTGCACAATACGATGTAGGTGGAAAAGTTAGAAGATGAAGATGATTTTCGGCACGGGTTATTGGGAGCAGTGTTTCATCCAGACTTTCTTTTCCTGTGGTGGGGGAGGGGGACATTTTAAATTTTCGTGAGAGGGTGGGTGCACTGGTAAAATTATATATTTTCATTAAATTCTCTTAAATGTTGCGTCAGCCTTTCTTCTGAGATCGCAGCAACGCGTGTGACGAGTACGCTAGCTTACGGAGTTCATTTTCTGATTTCTTGACCAGATTTCACCTGGATCTGAATAAAATGAAAGACCGGCTTCGGGCCAATCAAATTATCTGTGAATTTTCCTGGCCTTCGTCGACATTCACACTCAAGTGTATGGATGAAAACCCGTGTACCCCAGCCGTAACCACAGTCACATTGAAAGCCAGCCAGTGGTTCACGATATCGATTAACTTTTCCCTTAACAGCATGGTAAAGGTGAGTGACGTACTTAGCTTCACTTGGTCCTCTTTACTCCCTGTGGAGCATAGGGTATCAAGCATTGGCGGAAATAGAAATAAATACTTCATCGTGGAAATAATGTGGGGTCCTATCTACTGTTTGTCTGTCTATCTGTCTGTCAGTATATGTAGTATATGATGTAAATATGATGTATATGTAAATGTAAAATGTAAAATGTGTATATATATATATATATATATATATATATATATATATATATATATATATATATATATATAATGTTCAATACTGTATATTTGTTTGTAAAATGTTTGTTAAATATTTGTAATCGCGGATTGCAGAGGAATATAGAAAAAACGAAAAAATTTGATACTTCCACGGAGCCAAGTGTTAGATTATTATATTGCTCATGGTCTAAATTTATGAGTTAAAAATTACTATTCAAAGTCTTTAAAAACATTTTTCATTTTATATACTTAGAATAATAATTTTTAATTATGAACATTACATAAAAAAAATTTAAAAGTGTATCAACGTTTATAAAATGTCTATAATTGTGTCTGAAATGTATTTGCATTTTGTCCTTTAGTTCTCATAACGTCCCTTGATTTGGAAAATTCAGTTACTTCCCTATAAAAAAAACAATAAATCGGGGGGAGAAAGAATTTAATTTTTATTACTTTGTTTTGGTGTTAGGAAAAAAAATAATTATATAATTAGCGGGGATTGATTAAGTGCAATGTTATTGGTATTTTAAATACTGCATTTTATTTATTCCATACACTGAACGCACTGTTTTCTTCTGATTATTTTTAATCAATAACAGTTAGAAAGCCAGGTCCATCATGTCCTAAATGTTTATTTCTTTCCGTTTACGGAAAAGTTTAGAGTATTATAATTGTTCACTAAATTGAAACAGGCGCGTCCGCCGGCGCCCCAGCAGGGTTCGATTTGGCGCCCTGTGTTAACCTGTGAGCCCTATGGTGCATATAAGAAAGGTTATTATAGTCTTTAAGTGAATCTAATCCGGGCGTCTTCTGGCGCCCAGACAAGATGCTATTTGGGGCCCCGGGCCTCCCGTGTTCGGTTTGGCGCCTACGTTCGTTTAAGTGAGTGCAAAAGACTATGAATAAGTGGGGGGGGGTTGGGTACTATAGTCGTTTATTAAGATGAAACAGGTGATTCCGCCGGCGCCACAGCATGGTGCGATTTGGCGCCCCTGGCTAGACTGTGAGCACTTTGCGTTTATGTTTGCGTTAGTGTTTTCTTTGTGTTTAGGTTTGGCTTGCGATAGTGGTTGCGTTTGCGTTTTGAATTGGTTAGTTTTTGTTCTTTCTTTTTCGTTTTCGTTTGTGTTTTTTTCTTTGGGTTTGTGTTTGTATTTGTGTTTGTGGTTGGTTTTCTTTTGGATTTGGTTGGTTTTGTTTGCTTTTTCGTTTGTTTTTTCTTTGTGTTTGTATTGGTGTTTGTGGTTGTGGTTGGGTTTGTTGTTAGGTTTTTGTTTTCGTTTGCTTTTTTGTTTGTTTTTTCTTTGTGTTCGTTTTTTCTTTGTGTTTGTATTGGTTTTTGTGGTTGTGGTTGGGTTTGTTGTTATGTTTTTGTTTTCGTTTGTATTTGTAATTGTGTAAGCGTTATGTTTGCGTTTTGTTGTTTTGGTTTTGGTTGGTTGTGGTTAGGCAATGCCGGTTACACAGGGAATAGTCTTTAACAGAAAGGTTTTTCACAGAGGCCAGAGAAGGGCCTGGCCGGGACGGCTAGTACAGGGGTCGGCAACCTTTTGAAGCGGAAGAGCCAAAAGTTACAATTTTCAAAATTTCCCTGGTTTTAAAGAGTCACTAACACTTTTTTTATTTCAAATATTTAATTTTTTTATTAAGATTATTAGTATTTATTCAAGGAGCTGGAGAGCCGCATCTTGATATCAAAAGAGCCGCATGCGGCTCGCGAGCCGCAGGTTGCCGACCCCTGGGCTAGTATATATATCTTATATATAAAGCTCAATTTTGTAACGCATATGTTTGTTGTTGGTCTTGGATGGATTAAAGTGTTATAATATTATCGTGCGCATTTCTCTAAATTTATGAGTTTAAAAATTACTATTGAAAGTGTTGAGAAATAATTTTCATTTTTCAAATTATAGTAATAATTGTCGGCATGTTCATTCAACACAAGTTTTTAAAAAATATCATCTTTTACAAAAATTCTAATTATGTCTTTATTTAGTCCTATAGCACTTACTTCCCTTTGATAAATTAGGAAAACACAATTACTTCCCTTTATAAAACCATTGCATTCGTGGAAAAGATTTTACTTTTTAATTACTTTGTTTTGGTGTTGGGAAAAAAAATAATTACATAATTAGCGGGGATTGATCAAGTGCAAATGTTGTAGGTATTTTACGGATAAGCTTGGAGTATTATAATTGTTCATCAAATTGAAACAGGCGCGTTCGTTTAAGAGAGTGCAAAAGACTGTGAATAACTTGGGGTACTATAGTCGTTCATTAAGCTAAAACAGGTGATTCCGCCCCGGGCGTTTATGTTCGCGTTAGTGTTTTCTTTGTGTTTAGGTGGGTTTGCGTTAGTGGTTGCGTTTTGATTTGGTTCGTTTTTGTTCTTTCTTTTTTCGTTTTTGTTTGTGTTTTTTTGTTTGGGTTTGTATTTGTGTTTTTGGTTGGTTTTGCGTTTGGATTTGGTTTGTTTTCGTTTGCTTTTTCGTTGTTTTTTTTTTTTTTGTTGGTATTGGTGTTTGTGGTTGGGTTTGTTGTTAGGTTTTTGTTTTCGTTTGCTTTTTTGTTTGTTTTTTGTTTGTTTTTGTATTGGTGTTTGTGGTTGGGTTTGTTGTTAGGTTTTTATTTTCGTTTGTATTTGTAATTGTGTTAGTGTTATGTTTGTGTTTTGTTGTTTTGGTTGGTTGTGGTTTGGGTGGGCAATGCCGGGTTTATGATGATTACTAAACACACAGGTAATGGTCTTTAACAGAAAGGTTTTTCACAGAAGCCAGAGCAGGGCCTGGCCGGGACGGCTAGTATATATATATAGTCAGGTTCATGCGTTCCACACAAAAAGAATGCAGTAGTGCTCTTTTGCCGTAATGCCACTGTTGTCCATTATGGGAATCGGCCTTCGGGCAAGTGTGTGTATATATATATATATATATATATATATATATATATATATATATATATATATATATATATATATATATATATATATATATATATATATATATATATATATATATATATATATATATATACATCAACATTTCCTTTTTACCAGTTTTACTACAAACAAATTTATCTTGGAGAGATTCGCAGCAATTACGCCACTGTGCGGTCGATACACTTCCAGTGGAGGATTGATGATTATAAAATGAGGTTTATTCCAGCTTCAGCACCTCAAGGACCTCCGCGGCGACAATAGCTTTCTAAAGCTGTAGCAACTGCCATCTATAACTGTTTAAAAGCCTGTGTTTTTATTGTTCTGTTATTTCAATGTGTTTGAGGTGTTATTAGTTTTATAAGAGTGAAGTTAAACAATTAACATTTACTTTTTTTGTGAAAAGCATAGAAGCTATACTATAATTTTTTTCGATGTTAAAACAAGATGAAAAGTGTCAACATCTGTATGAGTAAATCAGTTTTTCGCAGATAAAATGTTACTTCAATAACAATATCTAAACGTGTTTTTTCACTGAAAACTTTTAATTATTTCCTTTTTGTTATTGACGGTCTGGAGTGACTGTCTAAAATTGCCGTGTATAAACTAATGAAGTGGCAAAAAATAATGGAAATTAATTGGTTTCCATGAAATCTCATCTTTATCTGTAAGCCAAGAAGCACGGGCTATTCAATATTAATGAGTAATTTTATACAGGGCAATGGCCAAGTGGGTGATGGTCAACTGGGGAATGGCCAACAGGGAATGCCTACCCAGGTGATGTCTGGAGAATGACAATTTGGCAATGGCTTACTGGGGAGTACCATCTAATGATGGCCAACTGGGGAGTACCATCTAACGATGGCCAACTGGGGAGTACCATCTAATAATGGCCAACTGGGGAGTACCATCTAATGATGGCCAACTGGGGAGTACCATCTAATGATGGCCAACTGGGGAGTACCATCTAATGATGGCCAACTGGGGAGTACCATCTAATGATGGCCAACTGGGGAGTACCTTCTAATGATGGCCAACTGGGGAGTACCATCTAATGATGGCCAACAGGGCAATGGCCAACTGGGGAGTACCATCTAATGATAGCCAAATAAGGAGTACCATCTAATGATGGCCAACTGGAGAGTACCATCTAATGATGGCCAACTGTGCAATGACTAACTGGGGAGTACCATCTAAGGATGGCCAACTGGGGAATGGATAACAGAGGAGTACCATCTAAGGATGGCCAACTGGGGAATGGATAACTGGGGAGTACCCTCTAATGATGGTCAACTGGGGAGTACCATCTAATGATGGACAACTGGGCAATGACTAACTGAGGAGTACCATCTAATGATGGCCAACTGGGGAGTACCATCTAATGATAGCCAACTGGGGAATACCTTCTAATGATGGCCAACTGGGGAGTACCATCTAATGATAGCCAAATAAGGAGTACCATCTAATGATGGCCAACTGGAGAGTACCATCTAATGATGGCCAACTGGGCAATGGCTAGCTGGGGAGTACCATCTAATGATGGCCAACTGGGGAGTACCATCTAATGATGGCCAACTGGGGAGTACCATCTAATGATGGCCAACTACGGAGTACCATCTAATGATGGCCAACTGGGGAGTACTATCTAATGATGGCCAACTGGGGAGTTCCATCTAATGATGGCCAACTGGGAAGTACCATCCAATGATGGCCAACTGGGCAATGGCTAACTGGGGAGTACCATCTAATGATAGCCAACTCGGGAGTACCATCTAATAATGGCCAACTGGGGAGTACCATCTAATGATGGCCAACTGGGGAGTACCATCTAATGATGGCCAACTGGGTAGTACCATCTAATGATGGCCATCTGGGGAGTACCATCTAATAATGGCCATCTGGGAAGTTCCATCTAATGATACCAACTGGGAAGTACCATCTAATGATGGCCAACTGGGCAATGGCTAACTGGGGAGTACCATATAATGAAAGCCAACTGGGGAATACCATCTAATGATGGCCAACTGGGGAGTACCATCTAATGATGGCCAACTGGGGAGTACCATCTAATGATGGCCAACTACGGAGTACCATCTAATGATGGCCAACTGGGGAGTACTATCTAATGATGGCCAACTGGGGAGTTCCATCTAATGATGGCCAACTGGGAAGTACCATCCAATGATGGCCAACTGGGCAATGGCTAACTGGGGAGTACATCTAATGATAGCCAACTGGGGAGTACCATCTAATGATGGCTAACTTGGGAGTACCATGTAATGATAGCCAACTGGGGAGTACCATCTAATGATGGCCAACTGGGGAGTACAATCTAATGATAGCCAACTTGGGAGTACCATCTAATGATGGCCAACATCGGAGTACCATCTAATGATAGCCAACTGGAGAGTACCATCTATTGATGGCCAACTGGGCAATGACTAACTGGGGAGTACCATCTAATGATGGCCAACTGGTGAGTATCTTCTAGTGATGGCCAACTGGGGAGTACCATCTAATGATGGCCAACTGGGGAGTACCATCTAATGTTGGACAACTGGGCAATCGCTAACTGGGGAGTACTATCTAATGATGGCCAACTGGGGAGTACCATCTAATGATAGCAAACTGGGGAGTACCATCTAATGATGGCCAACTGGGGAGTATCATCTAATGATGGCCAACTGGGGAGTACCATCTAATGATGGCCAACTGGGGAGTACCATCTAATGATTGCCAACTGGGCAATGACTAACTGGGGAGTACCATCTAATGATAGCCAACTTGGGAGTACCACCTAATGATGGCCAACTGGGGAGTACCATCTAATGATAGCCAACTAGGGAGTACCATCCATTGATGGCCAACTGGGGAGTACCATCTAATGATGGCCCACTGGGCAATGGCTAACTGGGAGTACCACCTAATGATGGCCAACTAGGGAGTGCCATCTAATGATGGCTAACTGGGGAGTACCATCTAATGATAGCCAACTGGGCAATGACTTACTGGGGAGTACCATCTAATTATGGCCAACTGGGGAGTACCATCTAATGATAGCCAACTAGGGAGTACCATCTAATGATGGCCAACTGGGGAGTACCATCTAACGATGGCCCACCGGGCAATGGCTAACTGGGGAGTACCATCTAATGATGGCCAACTGGGCAATGGCTAACTGGGGAGTTACAGAAACCGAAGACAAATCTGAAACTTATCCAGTCCTCGGAAGAACCAGGGCTCCAATTAGGAGAAGTATGACGCGATGCAGCCGAATTCGCAAGGAAGCTACAGAGCCGATGCCCCTTCTTCAACCGAGAAAAACTAAATTCACAGCCCCAAAACTACTGTCGCAAAATAACCTATCCTCATAGGAACATGGAACGTCGGAACACTATGGGAAGCGGGGAGGTGTGCACAGGCAGTGAAAGAAATGCAACAGTATCATCTTACAGTGCTTGGCCTGTGCGAAACAAGATGGAAAACCTTTGGAGAGACAAAATTTTAAGACGGGAGAAACACTGTTATACTCGGGAAAAGAAAATGAGGACGACCCACGAGATGCAGGCGTAGCCTTGCTATTGAAAAAGGATGCAACAAAAAGCCGGATGTAATGGAAACCTATGTCTGATCGAATAATTAAAGCTAGATTTGAATCCAAGTTTCAAAAGACCTCCTTTATCATGTGCTACGCTCCTAAGAACAACGCAGACGAGGAAGAAAAAGACCGCTTCTACCAAGAGCTTCAAGAAAAAAAAAGGAGGAAGTGGCGCTGGGTGGGACACACGCTACGAAAGGCTCACCCAAATGTTACACGCCAAGCGCTTGAGTGAAACCCCCAGGGACTGCGGAAGCGAGGGCGCCCAAGACAGACCTGGAGGAGGAGTCTTCTTGAAGATCTGAAGCCAACAGGGATGTCTAGGGAGATTGCAAAATTGATAGCCGTGGATCGGATGAAATGGAAGGAAATGGTTGATGCCCTATGTTCCATAAGGTGCAAAGAGGACTAAGTCAAGTAAGTCAAATCAGTTATGAAAACTGAAATGTTTTTAAATGAACATTTGCAGTGACTTACTAGTCACTGAACAGGTTAGGCTAGCAGTTAGACTAAGATTTTAAATGGCTCTATAAGTTTACTATTCAATTCCTTTTTTAAACTAAGATGCAAACTTACAAATTTAATACAAAAACCACTGGTTCTTAATCTTTTGGACGTAAAAAACCACTGACATAAACATACATTTTTAAATTAGTAAATGTTACATGTAGGCCTATACAAATAAACAAGACGTTATTTTAATAATAAACAGTAGACTAAAGAGATGAACTACAAACTCTTCATAAAAAAAAAAGTTTATTGTCTAGGTACTTAAATTAACCAAAGCTTGATGTTACATATAATAGCATTAGTCAATGTTTATATTTTAAGCATATGAGGTATATAAACTTTATATAACAGCATATTAAAAAACACAATGTTTAGAAAGACAGATCTAGTTAGATTCATTTTCAATGAAAAAAAATTGTACAACTCAATTATCATGAGTAAAAATAGTAGCTGGTCCTAGCACTTAATTATTATCTAGTGGACATTAAAATTTGAGAAACTAAAATTATTTTAAGTTAGCTTTTTAATCTTGAACTGAACATTAACTTCTGAAATCTAAAAATATTGAACATTTTTATCAACAATGTGTGCTAAGATAAACTGAAAATACTTCCCTTTGATTCAATACACCAAATAACTCTGAAGTCCTATTACTAAAATTGTGCTTGAACATACAATGTTCTAATTGTTCAAAAATCTTAAACCAGCATTATTGTACAATCCAATTCACTAAAGAAAAATTAAACTCGTTTTTTTTAAAATATTGTTATAATTTGCAAATATAAGACAAAAGGAAGATTCAAGCAGTTAATACAATTGTAATATTTTAAATGTTGACTGACTTTGTACATTCTTAAACAAACGGAGTAGGCTACATTGGAATGAAAATTTAAATAAACCGGGAGTGATCTCCCCTAAACTTTCTCGAATATTCTTATATAACTCGGAATATAGACATGACTTTTAATTTCTTTTTTAAGTTTTAAAAATAGAATAGAATCTCGTAAAAAAGAATTGCGCACCAAGCGAACGCCAAAACAAAATGTGCATAATAGTGCGCAATATTATTAGTACTTTTTAAATTTACGAGAAATCGGAAATAGCGTAAATTAGTACTTCCCGTCAACGGAAATTACTCAAAATTTTACAGAAGGTAGAGAATTAGATCTTTTACTAACATGTGAAATTTCATTTATCTATCTGAAATAGTACTCAAGTTATAGGCTTTTTAAAAATTTCAAAGTAGAAAAAGTATAACTTCCGTTTATCGGAAATCGCTCAAAAGCTTATACGGATCTACGATTTTGATAAAATACTTATATATGAAATTTTATCAACCTAACTATAACGGTACTCAAGTTATCGTGTTTACACATAGACACACACACATGCACACACAGACAGACACACAGACATACGGACAATATTGCAAAATTATGTTTTTCCGTATCAGTGAGGTGTAAAACGTCGAGATTTGAAAAAATCTCGATTTTTTTTTTTCATGATTACAATACTTTCTCTATACTTCGTATATACGCGAAAGTAAATATTACGTTAATAAAATAAAAGCCAAATTTATAATAAAATATGTCTTACAAGATATCTTTTTGGTCAAGACTCAGCTATCAAGACCCTGCTATAATAAACAATGTTGATATCCTTCAAGGTGAAATACCCGGAAACAACTGCACAAATTTACCCAGTTATGTCCGTGTTTTAATACACTTTTAATACACTTGGCACAGAATCACAGATAGCTGATAGAGGTCCTCTCCATAAATGACGTCAAACATTTTTGACGTGTTTTACCGGATGGTAAAGTACAATTCAATTACACGATGCGCACTTGCAGCAACAGGGGCTAAATGTTGAGCACGTACCAGATCGCACCGATGCCAAACGATGCGATACAGTAGCCAGATTTGTCAATAAGAAGCATGAGGTTTTTTGTGTTATAAATTTGTATTAACCGCTTTGCTTGTGACCGGCTAACCAGGTCCGGCTAGATTTCCTAACATTTACTACCGTCGATAAGATGGGAAGCTTCTTTGTTTAAAGGCGATATTGTGGAGGTTCAGCCAAACCTGTTCAACCTAGATGAGAAAGATGTTGTTTAAAAGGTTTGACAAAGCTGTGATTATGATATTGTTAGTTTTCTCTGTGTTTTTTTTAATATTAGCTTTGTCTTTCTAAGACGAATTAAAAGTGATTCTCACCCACTACCATCACCAAGGCTATGTAGGCCTACAATTGATGTCTGAGGTCTATGGAGCTGAGTTTCCCTTGAGCACTGCCCCCCCCCCCCCCCACCCCCATGTACCCCACCCCCTCCTCTACCCCGGACAAAATTTTTAAAAATATAATTTATTGACCTACAGGTCTCCTGCCGGGGTTTTAAAGCCTCTGAAGGGTTAATTTAAAAATGCCTTTACACTAGCCCTCCCTAAAGTATTGTCAGTCATTATGGCAGGTGACGACGATAAAAGATGTGGTCGGTCCAGTCATTTATGATCATCATACCTTTCCCCGTTTCTGCCCAAGACACAGGGGCAGATGAAGCAATCTGTTTCAATGACCGCGGTCAGGACTATGCCCAGCCGCCTTTGTTTCCCTAACGTGAGTTAGGATTCAGGGAGTCACATGGTTAGGACTCAGGAACTTTCTACTCACTTCAACACGGTTTCGAACTCGACACTTTTTGGGGTTAGCAGTCTAGGGCTCTACCGCTGGGCCACGCCGTCTGATCTACTTTCCCCTAACATCACTCAGTCGCCTACCTTAGAGCTGGGTGTACTCGAGCACGGGATCCGAACTCTAGGCTCTCAAATTAGCAGTCTAGCGCTCTACCGCTGGGCCACGCCGTCTGATCTACTTTCCCCTAACATCACTCCGTCGCCTACCTTAGAGCTGGGTGTACTCGAGCACGGGATCCGAACTCTAGACTCTCAAATTAGCAGTCTGGCGCTCTACCGTCCGGTCATGCCGTCCCATTAACAAATGACACAACGTTTTAATTATTATCTAAATTGCAGTAGTTGTTTTAATTTATTTTATATAAAATATATTTGTTAAATATTTGTGTAAGGTCAAGTTTTGCTTAGAGGCATATTTTGAGAGCATGGGATTACCTTTCGCGTTACTGCTGCTGGTTGGGACAGCTACCTGTTCTATCAAGGTAAGTCACAGGTAACTAAACTATACCAATGATCATCATCTTTTTCCGTTCATGCCCAAGTGTCCAAGACCCATGCGGAAGGTGAAGTAGAGTTCTTCTACTTCAGAGACATATTAAAGGATAGTTTGGTCAGCACTATGCCCAGCCGCCTTTGTTTCCCTAACGTGAGTTAGGTACCCATCAGAGTTGGGTAGACTCAGGGGCATTCTACTGACTTGAATCTGGATTCGCACTCGAGACTTTCGGGTCAGCAGTCTTGCTCTCCACCACTAGGCCACGCCGTCCCATTATACCAATAATACGGAGATAAGAACAAGAAATAATCCTCTTTAGACCTAGCGATCCATTAGGCAGATGAGGCAAAGTTCATATGTTTCTTTACCTCTGCATATAAAGGGATAATGTGGTCAGAAGTATACCCAGCCGCCTTTACTTTCACTAATTTGAGTCAGGTACTCATCAAAGCTGGATGAACTCAGTGACGTTTCACTGATTTGAACTTGGATTCGAACTCGAGACAAGCGGTAGAGCGCTTTCCTGTTTACCCGAAAGTCTCGAAATTATTTGTAGCTGTAAGAATCATGTGTAGCTGTAACAATTATTGTGTACTTGTAGCAATTATTAATTCTTACAGTTCGACGCCCCCTTAGACTACAACCTATTTTTCTGGCAAGGATTCAACTCCTTACAATACAACTTGGACATTCGTATCCCACGTGACTCCCGCAGGCGAGTGGCTGTTCACATGTTTCAATAAATTAAAACAAAACCCACACTTTTTGTTTTATTTTACTTGAAACAATCCTCTCTAGCTTCAGCTTTTTATTCGCAAACAATCTTCACTCTAGATTTCAGCCTAAAGCCATCATTTTATTCATAAACAATCTTCACTCTAGATTTCAAACAATAGCCATTATTTTTATTCACAGTCTTTCCTCTAAATTTCAGGCAATAGCCATTACTTTATTCACAAAATATCCATCGTGAAGTATTATCCAGCTTAGCGATATTTTTTTTATGTTCAGACAAACAGGAAAATGTTATTTTAAGAATTTACGCCATGCGAATTAATTATCATAGTTAGCTGCAAACAATTATCGCCATATAGTTTTGAAAAATTTCTATTTGTTTTGTTTTTAAACTATTTGTTTTGAGAACGTCGAACGACTGCTCACCCGTATGTATATACTAAGATTGCCATGTTCACGCCCGTAGACGTGTGACCCACATAGAATAAGCAGCTATCTTATTCTTCGTTAATACTAACAAGATAGAAAGCGATTTCCTCAACTCAAATGAATATTACGTCATTTTACGCCATATGGCCCGATGACTCCTATTTCAGCCTGTTTTTCTTTCTGGATTTGCTGATTTGCTTCCATGGCTGGTGTCCGCCCAAGAACAAACCTCAAGGCAGAAGCTGTTTGATTTTGGAGTTTTCTCTCTTAGATGGGTTACCGTCCCCAGCTAACTAGCCTCGTCTGCCCGAAGGTTCGAACCCTGATCTTTTGGAATTAGCAACCGTGGGTTCTCCTGCCAGACCATTCCGTTCCCTTGAGTATCTATCAGACTACGGCCGAGGAAACTGAACGCGACATTTCACATAAGGGCAGGTTAAACCCCCCCCCCCCCCCAAAAAATACAAATTTAAGTCAGAAATGTTGATTTTTGAAAATCTATTGTTTCTGAAACTACATTCAATTCTGAACATTTTTGTATAATCATTTTGCAAAATTTCGTATTGCTAGTATTTTTTATATTTTTTTAATTAATCAGACTAATGACGTAATTCACCTATATTAAGCAACATTAAGCAACATAAAAATTAAAAACTAACTAAAATAGATGTTCTTATTGCTGAGTAAGAGGCTCCAGATGCAATTTATGTAACTGGGAGGTTTTAAAAATGACTTATTTGGTATAGTTTTCGCTTTTTCTCGTTTTTTTCAAATTTAGTATATTTTTCACTATTTAGCGTTTTTCTCAAAATGTTACTTTTCAACGAAATTGTACCAGTCAAATCACTATAACTCAAAAACTACTTGAGATATTTAGCTGAAATTTTGCACACATGTTTACTAAACACTTTTTTGTAAAGTTGAACTAAAAGAATTTCTATATCTTTGAAACTTCTCATTTTATAAAAAAGAAGCTAAGTCTACTCCCTACTTTTTTGGAAAAATTTTAGGTCTCACTTTTAAAACATTTGGCTAAAATCCATTTTTTATTATTTTCTAATTATTTTAGTTCATCTTTTTTGTAATTGCGTATATTACACTATATTAAAGATTTGTGTTATTCTGACAAACAGAAGCTGTGTTATTTTGATTTCAATTAGGGCTAATTTTGAGCTATTTTACCCTAAAAATGACACTTTTTAGAAAATATTTTCTCAAAACCATAACTTTTTAGTGATTTTTTTGCTTTTTTTTCATATACTATGCTAGTTACAACTTCCTTATCACTCAAAAAAGTCCTAACACCTAAATTTCAATTTGGGGGTTTAACCTGCCCATAAGAACTGACCAAACAATTATTTTAAATCTCAACAGTTTTTAACCTCAATAAGTTTTCTCTCTCTCTCTCTCTCTCTCTCTCTCTCTCTCTCATATATATATATATATATATATATATATATATATATATATATATATATATATATATATATATATATATATATATATATATATATATATACTTAAACCAGTACCAAACCCCTCCCACGAAAGCTTCAAGTGCCTTCTCCCTTGCGACCCCCATCCTCAGGGCTGTAGAAAAGAATATCTGAATAAAATTTAGATACGTTGAAACAGACTCCCATTGGTCTGAAAAGGCACTCATTTTATACATTTCATAATGTTTTTAACACTCTCATGATAATTAAAACGGCAGCAAATAGCATTAGGTACTTTAATTTTTTTTGTAAATTATACACACGATGATTCATTTTCTTAATTTTCTCATTGATAAATCAGGTTTTTACAAGCTTTTATTTTAACTCACTTCTTCTGTCTGTCGTCAGTCTGTCGTCAGTCTAGATCGAAACGCTCGTGCGAAATTGCAGGCACTTCTAACTGACAGATACGGTTCGTAATTGATACGTGAGTCAAGAGATGAAGGCGATGCATCGTGACATTCAATTTGATTTGATTGGGTTCCTAATTAACTTTTTATGAAGTAATTAAAATTTGGACTGAATTAGTAGGCAGTTCTATCCACACGCGTCATCACGGCCGTGTAGGGCGTGGAGCGTGGGGGCTCTACGTCAAAAGCGCGTTATCACGTTCAATAGGTGCGCGATGGTTTTTAGTTGGGTCAGCAGTCTAGTTCTTTACCACTAGTCTACGCCATCCATAATATACGCGTCATTAAGGCCCTCTTGGGCGTTGAGCGAGGAGGGCTCTACGATAAGACAGGGCAGAGAAAGGCAATAAAACGTGTCATCACGTTCAATAGGCGCGTAATGGGTCTCTTCCTAAATATTAGTAAAGGTATCCAATCTAATATATAAAGCTCAGTTCTGTATGTAACGCATTTGTTTGTCGTTGGTCTTGGATGGATTTAAGTGTTAGACAATTATCGTGCGCATTTGTCTAAATTTATGAGTTAAAAAATTACTATTGAAAGTGTTGGGAAATAATTTTCATTCTTTAAATTATAGTAATAATTGTCGGCATGTTTATTAAACACAAGTTTTAAAAAAATATCATCTTTTACAAAAATTCTAATTAAGTCTTTATTTAGTCCTATAGCACTTACTTCCCTTTGATAAATTAGGAAAACACAATTACTTCCCTTTATAAAACCATTGCATTAGTGGAAAATAATTTACTTTGTATTACTTTGTTTTGGTGTTGGGAAAAAAAATAATTACATAATTAGCGGGGATTGATCAAGTGCAAATGTTGTAGGTATTTTACGGATAAGCTTGGAGTATTAAAATTGTTCATTAAATTGAAACAGGCGCGTTCGTTAAAGTGAGTGCAAAAGACTATGAATAAGTTGGGGTACTATAGTCGTTCATTAAGCTAAAACAGGTGATTCCGCCCCGGGCGTTTATGTTCGCGTTAGTGTTTTCTTTGTGTTTAGGTGGGTTTCCGTTAGTGGTTGCGTTTTGCTTTGGTTCGTTTTTGTTCTTTCTTTTTTCTTTTTTCGCTTTTGTTTGTGTTTTTTTTTTGTTTGGGTTTGTATTTGTGTTTTTGGTTGGTTTTGCGTTTGGATTTGGTTTGTTTTCGTTTGCTTTTTCGTTGTTTTTTTTTTGTTGGTATTGGTGTTTGTGGTTGGGTTTGTTGTTAGGTTTTTGTTTTCGTTTGCTTTTTTGTTTGTTTTTTGTTTGTTTTTGTATTGGTGTTTGTGGTTGTGGTTGGGTTTGTTGTTAGGTTTTTGTTTTCGTTTGTATTTGTAATTGTGTTAGCGTTATGTTTGCGTTTTGTTGTTTTGGTTGGTTGTGGTTTGGATAGGCAATGCCGGGTTTATGATGATTACTAAACACAGGTAATGGTCTTTAACAGAAAGGTTTTTCACAGAAGCCAGAGCAGGGCCTGGCCGGGACGGCTAGTAGATACTAAAGTTATCCACGCTTTTCTTTATAGTAATTTAAATAGTAGTGTCTAATATTTAGGAAAATACCCACGCTTTTCTTTATAGTTTTTTAAATAGTAGTGTATAAATTATTTTCTACTTTCTAGAACATTATTACATAAAAGCTTGTTATTTTTTATGAATTTTTTTTTTAATTGTGTTAACAGATTTACGATTGAGTTCTGCACTAATGTGCTCTGTACCATGGACAAAGTGCTTCACTTCAGGGCGCGGTTCGATAAACAGCACGTGGCCAGGTCGCATCGGCTGAAAGGAAAATGGAGTTCGGAGCTGACAAGTGGAGTGATGCCTTTTGAGAGAGGGGGCGAATTCTCCATGAAAATTATCACCGGGCAGTCTAGATTTGAGGTATGGGAACGGTGGATCTACGGTGTTGCTATGAATGGTAATGAGGGAAGTGTTTCCACCCCCATCCCCCCCCCCCCCACCCCATAAAAAATACGAATAAAATTGGAAAATAATTCTGAGAAATATATAGTTGTGAAGATCCCTTTGGGACTTTGTGGCCTACGGGACAGCTGAAGTAGAGTTCACCTGTTTCCGTGATCTCGGTATATGAAAGGATAGTGTGATCCGCACTATGTGCAGTGTGAGGGGGGGGGTGATGGAGATGAACCCGGGCCTGGTATAGTTTTGTGTGAAATCACCACACAAGTCCAATTCAGGACATGATGTTCTTTATTTACACAAAACAACGTTCTTACTTCTATCTAACTAGTCTATACTATATGATGTCTACTAATACAACTAACTAAACACTTCTATCTAACTGCGCATCCCTAACACACTATCTACCTCTAACTTTTACATCTTTACCCTAGCGCTACTTATCACCGTCTGCTTTCTACCGATATCTATCACCGTCTGTTCTCCCTCGCTCCAGTGGTCAGCTGATGATCTCACGTGACCGGGTTAGCTCCTGTGTTTCTATTGGTCTGTTTAACTAACTAAGCTATACTCTGTTTCTACCGTCTACTTGACTTCTAAACTAAACTAGCGTCATCCCACCCAGCCGCTTTTATTTTTCCTAACGTGAGTTAGGTACCCCCAGTGTTGGATGGACTCAAGATCGTACTACGACTTTACCCAGGAACACTGGCTCAAATCTGTCGGTTTGGAAGACGAACACGCTACCATTCGACCACGCTGTCCCACGAGAAAAATATAGGCCTATCGAAATTTACTAAATCATTTTTCTAATTTTTTTTTAGCTTTTTTTTTAGCTCACCCGGCGCGCGTCGCTGCTATCCAGTCCATCCCACCAGAGCGGCGCAACATTTCACCAGCACGTTATCAGTCGTGTATTTTTAGATGTGTGACCTAGTTTTCTAGAACTGAGTTACTTAAGTGTAAACATCGCTGACGCTGCACCGGATCTTTGTTTTTGGGTGCGAGTTTGTCCACACTCCCGCCCAGTGTGTACGTTAACCACCCTCTGTAATAGTGAGGTACAGCACACCACCTCGGCGACTCCTCAGGTGTCATTAACGCCGGATACACTACTGCAGGAGCGCATGATGTATCACTTTGCTTGCTTTGTAGTGTCCCACCGTGTCCCTAGTATACGGTGCTCTTTAAAATGAAAGTAGGCGCAGTAGTGCTCACGAGGGAACACAGCGAGCTCATGGACGCGCCTGATTGGACAACGATTATAGTAACCCACCACAATGAATGACGTTCTTTAAAACGAACATCGGCGTTATAGTACTCACGTAGGAGTGACTCCTTCGCTCCATCCCCCACCCCCACCCCGAGACATGTCTCCAACATATCCATCCATTAATTGTTGTTTTTTATGTCCTCAGATCTACATTGACGACGTATTATTCTGCCAGTATAATAGCGTTTTTCATAGAGAAGCGCAATATGTTATGAAGATTTCTGGAAAAGTGGAGATTACACATTGGACTGAATTTGTGAGTTGTTGTTTTTTACTTTCTCGTATATACGAAGTATAGAGAAAGTATTGTAATAGTGCAAACAAAAATCGAGATTTTAACAAATCTCGACATTTTACACCTCACTGATACGAAAAAACATAATTTTGCAATCTTGTCCGTATGTCTGTGTGTCTGTGTGTGTGTCTGTGTGTGTGTGTGTCTGTGTTTAAACACGATTACTTGAGTACCGTTACAGATAGGTTGATGAAATTTCATATATAAGTATTTTATCAAAATCGTAGATCCGTATAAAATTTTGAGCGATTTCCAATAACCGGAAGTGGACTTTTTCTACTTTAAAATTTAAAAAAGCCTATAACTTGAGTACTATTTCAGGTAGATAAATGAAATTTCACATGTAAGTAAAAGATCTAATTCTCTACCTTCTGTCAAATTGTGAGTAATTTTCGTTGAACGGAAGTAATAATTTACGCTATTTCCGATTTCTCAAAAAACGCACATAAATTTATAAAGTACTAATAATATCCCGCACTATTATGCACATTTTATTAGGCGTTCACTTGGTGTGCAGTTCTTTTTTTTTACGAGATTCAATTCTACTATAAAAAGTTTAAGTAATTAAAAATGGATTACAAATATTGTCTATGTCCTGAGTTGCCATCCCTCGTAGTTTCATATTAGAATATCCGAGAAAGTTTAGGGGAGATCACTCCCGGTTTTTTTTCTATGTTCGGATGTTTTTCCTTGCGTTAGGAATTTTTTTGTCTGTATGTGGGTATGTCAGCGTTTCATTTTTCTGTGTGCGTTGTTTATAATTTTCGGATTTTTCGAATGTCAATTTTTCTGTTGTTTTTTTTTCTTTTAGGTGGATAAATCAATGGTAAGCTTCGTTTCTTATTACTAAGCTGTAGCTTCGCAAGGTGGGGGTGATGGTACTAGCCTGGTACTAGTACTAGACGGTACTGACAACCACCCCCCCCCACCGTCAAGAAACTCTTCGTGAGACTCCCCAACCCCCGACCCCCCCCCCCCCCCCCCCATAAAGAGCGGAAAACAGTGCTCTACGAAAAAGTAATTTAAAAATAAAGTTATTCTAATAAAGGCTAATAGTTCTTTGATAAGCTCCTTTTATAAGCTTTTTTTAGTACACCATTTCTGTTTCTATGTTTGTTTGTTCATCTGTCCGTTTGCCTTTCCGTCTGTCCGCCCTCCCGTCTGACCGTCAGCCCGTTCGTCTCTCTGTCTGTCTCTTTCTTTCCTTTTTTTGTTCCGTTATTTGTTTCTTTGTTTGTTTCTTTGTTTGTTTGTTTGTTTGTGGCTAATCTTGTACCGCAATTTTGAAACCATCTAATGCAGCGATTTGGGTTTTTCGGGATCCATTCGTCGCTTATGACAGTGCAAGTATGAACGTTTATTTAAAAAACTACTAAATTCAACTTTTGAAAGTGAAAATAACAAGAATAAATAATAGCAATTGCTCGATCAGCTATCTGACGATGGTGAACTGTTGGTAACGCTGTTGGTTTCTTGTCTGAGGATCGACCACGAAAGTGGCAGAAAATTATCTTTTTGACACTGAATGTTCTGGTGTTTTTAAACTAAAATACTTGTACTTGTATTTGGTGTAGACTTCATTGAGAACGAATAGCTCAAAAGTAGAAAAGAAAAAAGGGTGAAAAAAAAAACTTTAAGCATGATAACTATTCAAATTGCCTGAAATTTTAAAACTAATTACAACTAATTATTTTGCTTTCTTTAATAAACGCATTGGTCGCCAAAATAAACAATAGATTTACTGAGCGCTCTGTGCTTTTATAAAGAAAGCAAGTTGTTTTTTGTTGTTGTTTTTTTTTTTGTCGGAGCATAATATAAACGCTTATTATTACAGTTTGTTGTTGTTGTTTTTTTGTTGTTGTTATTTTTGTTATTTTTTTTTTGTTATTTTTTTCTTGAATTCCCGCTGCCTCTTCTACTATACTTGCTTTACATTTAAACTGTTTTTAAATATTTGTTACAGTTAAGTCCCGAGGTTACCTACTGGGGATTTAAGCGCTACCCCATAGCCGGTGATAGACTACAAATTGATATTCTATTGGCTGCCAACTGGAAAAGTTTGGGAAAGTAATATTTTATTTTTAATTCCCTCTTTTCAGTTCTTATTGTAATACAGTAATCTCTTGGTTATCGCGGTTAATAGGGATCAAAGCCGGCCGCGATAGGTGTAAAACCGCGAGGCAGTGTTACTCTCACATTTTGAACATTTTTTCGTATGTATAATATCAATAGGTGTATGAAACCATATAAGTGCATATGTTATTGTTGAAATTTTAAAGAATAGTTTCAAAACTTAAATAAAATATTAATTGTATAAATAACATACATAAATTAATGTATAAATAATGTTTAAAAAAAGATACGTATGTGTGAGTAACATAATATGTAACTAAAGTATACCTACATACTATAATTTTTTAGAACTCTTTTATTCTCATAACAAGGTACGTAACTCGCATCTGACAATCTATATATATAATTCTCTTCTGGGAGTCGTTAGAAAACAAGCTGCAAGCGCGCCTTGCAGTCCCCTCTCTTTCTCTCTATCACTACCACCCCCACCCCCATATGGTTTGGTGAGCTGTGGTCACGCTAAATATTTACAAATCGTAGAGCCCGGTTTAGTGACGGCTATTAGGGGCAGATAATTTAGTTTGAAACGATTTTAAACTTACATGAGGTAACTAAGAGGAGGCTGCTTTCACGGGGGAGGGGGTAGGGTCGGGGTAAGGGGAAAGGGGGGAGGGGTTAGTGTTTTAAAGCAAATATTTTCAGTGGCTGCATTGGTACTGTCGAATTCACAAATTAGGAATTACTGAAAAGTAGAAAATAAAACAACTAAATAGCGGCGTATGATACGCCGCGGGTCGGCTCGTATCTTTATGTTTATCTATGTCGATGAAACACCTGCACAGTACGATGTAGGTGGAAAAGTTAGAAGATGAAGATGATTTTCGGCACGTGTTATTGGGAGCAGTGTTTCTTCCAGACTTTCTTTTCCGGTGGTGGGGGAAGGGGCATTTGAAATTTTCTTGAGAGGGTGGGGGCACTGGTAAAAGTATATATTTTCATTAAATTCTCATAAGTGTTGCGTCAGCCTTTCTTCTGAGATCGCAGCAACGCGAGTGACGAGTACGCTAGCTTACGGAGCTCATTCTCTGATTTCTTGACCAGATTTCACCTGGATCTGAAAAAAATGAATGGCCGGCTTTGGGACAGTCAAATTATCTGTGAATTTTCCTGGCCTTCGTCGACATTCACACTCAAGTGTATGGATGAAAACCCGTGTACCCCAGCCGTAACCACAGTCACCTTGGAAGCCAGCAAGTGGTTCACGATATCGATTAACTTTTCCCTTAACAGCATGATAAAGGTGAGTGACGTACTTAGCTTCACTTGGTCCTCTTTACTCCCTGTGGAGCATAGGGCATCAAGCATTGGCGGTACTAGAAAAAAATGATTCACCGTGGAAATAATGTGGGGTCCTATCTACTGTTTGTCTGTCTATCTATCTGTCTGTCTGTATATGTAGTATATGTTGTAAATATAATGTACATGTAAATGTAATATATATATATATACATATATATATATATATATATATATATATATATATATATATATATATATATATATATATATATATATATATATATGGTCAGGTTCATGCGTACCACACAAAAAGAGTGAAGTAGTGCTCTTTTGCATATATATATATATATATATATATATATATATATATATATATATATATATATATATATATATATATATATATATATATATATACATATATATATATATGGTCAGGTTCATGCGTTCTGCGCAAAAAGAATGCAGTAGGGCTCTTTTGCCGTAATGCCACTGGTGTCCATTATGGAAATCGGTCTACGGGCAAACGGCATTCGGCAAGTGTGTTTTTTGTTTCGGGAAAATGTCTGGCTCCCATATATATATATATATATATATATATATATATATATATATATATATATATATATATATATATATATATATATATATCAACTTTTCCTTTTTACCAGTTTTACTACAAACAAATTTATCTTGGAGAGATTCGCAGCAATTACGCCACTGTGCGGTCGATACACTTCCAGGGGATTGATGACTATAAAATGAGGTTTTTTCCAGCTTCGGCACCTCAAGGACCTCCGCGGCGACAATAGCTTTCTAAAGCTGTAGCAACTGCCATCTATAACTGTTTAAAAGCCTGTGTTTTTATTGTTTCGTTATTTCAATGTGTTTTTAGTTTTATAAGAGTAAAGTAAAACCATTAACATTTTACTTTTTTGTGAAAAGCATAGAAGCTATTCTATAATTTTTTTCGATGTTAAAATAAGATGGAAATGTTAACATCTGTATAAGTAAATCAGTTTTTCGCAGATAAAATGTTACTTCAATAACAATATCTAAACGTGTTTTTTCACTGAAAACTTTTAATTATTTGCTTTTAGTTATTGACGGCCTGGAGTGACTGTCTAAAATTGCCGTGTATAAACTAATGAATTGGCAAAAAATAATGGAAATTAATTGGTTTCCATGAAATCTCATCTTTATCTCTAAGGCAAGAAGCAAGGGCTATTCAATATTAATGAGTAATTTTATACAGGGCAATGGCCGAATGGGTGATGGTCAACAGGGGAATGGCCAACAGGGAATGCCTACCCAGGTGATGGCCAACTGGGGAATGACAGCTGGAGAATGCTAGTGATGGCCAACCCAATGGCTCGCTGGGGAATGACAACTTGGCAATGGGAGTACCATCTAATGATAGCCAACTGGGGAGTACCATCTAATGATGGCCAACTGGGGAGTACCATCTAATGATGGCCAACTGGGGAGTACCATCTAATGATGGCCAACTGGGGAGTACCATCTAATGATGGCCAACTGGGCAATGGCTAACTGAGGAGTACCATCTAATGATGGCCAACTGGGGTGTACCATTTAAGGTTGGGCAACTGGGCAATAGCTAACTGGGGAGTACCATCTAATGATGGCTAACTGGGGAGTACCATCTATTGATGGCCAACTGGGGAGTACCATGTAATGATAGCCAACTGGGGAGTACTATCTAATGATGGCTAACTGGGCAATAGCTAAATGGGGAGTACCATCTAATGATGGGCAACCGGGCAATTGCTAAATGCGGAGTACCATCTAATGATGGCCAACTTGGCAATGGCTAAATGGGGAGTACCATCTAATGATGGGCAACCGGGCAATTGCAAAATGGGGAGTACTATCTAATGATGGCCAACTGGGCAATGGTCAAGTGGGGAATAACAACTAGAGAATGCTAGGGATGGCCAACAACCCAATGACCAACTGATGCACGGCCAACTGGAGAATGTCAACTGGACAAAGGCTGATTAGGATTGAACTAACACAACAGATTTGCAAAAGAGTGCAGCACTAGATTCAAATGAGGAATAAACAAACCTCGATTGGACTGGTTGGTTTCCCATATTGCAGGAGTGCAGAAAAAAATATTTCCTTTTGATAGTTTAATTAAAATAATCTTTTTAAACTAGTACTTAAAGATATTTAAGGTAAAAGATGACTCTGATACCATTGCTTGGAAACTACCAGCCATTATCATGTTTATGACACAAGCAATAGCTTTAAACTTTAAACCTAAATAGCATTCCTGTATGTCACTTATCATGCTCCTCCAGGTTGGGGGTTGTGTGATGGGTAACTACTCGTCCACATAAAACAAAATATAGTTACAGAAACCGAAGCCAAATCTGAAATTAATCCAGTCCTCGGAAGAACCAGGGCTCTACTTAGGAGAAGTATGTTGCAATGCAGCCAAATCCGCAAGGAAGCTACAGAGCCGACGCCCCTTCTTCAACCGGGGAAAACTAAATGCACAGCCCCAAAACTATTGTAGCAAAAGAAACCTATCCTCATAGGAACATGGAACTTCAGATCACTATGGGAAGCAGGGAAGTGTGCACAGGTAGTGAAAGAAATGCAACAGTATCATCTTACAGTGCTCGGCCTGTGCGAAACAAGATGGAACACCTTTGGAGAGACAAAATTCCAGACGGGAGAAACACTGTTATACTCGGGAAAAGAAAATGTGGACGACCCACTAGAGGCAGGCGTAGCCTTGCTATTGACAAATGAGGCAATAAAAAGCCTAATGGAATGTAAACATATGTCTGATCGAATAATTAAAGCTAGATTTGAATCCAGGTTTCAAAAGACCTCCTTTATCATGTGCTACGTTCCTAAGAACAACGCAGACGAGGAAGAAAAAGACCGCTTCTACGAAGAGCTTCAAGAAAAAAAAGGAGGAAGTGGCGCTGGGTTAAACACACGCTACGAAAGGCTCACCCAAATATTACACGCCAAGCGCTTGAGTGGAAAGCGGAAGCGAGGGTGCCCAAGACAGACCTGGAGGCGGAGTCTTCTTGAAGATCTAAAGCCAACAAGGATGTCTTGGGAGACGGCAAAATTAATAGCCGTGGATCGGATGAAATGGAAGGAAATGGTGGAGGCCCTATGTTCCATAAGGAGCAAAGAGGACTAAGTCAAGTAAGTCAAATCAGTTATGAAAACTGAAATGTGTTTGAATGAACATTTGCAGTGCCTTACCAGTCACTTAACAGATTAGGCTAGCAGCTAGACTGGGATTTTGAATGGCTCTATAAGTTTACTATTCAATTCCTTTTTTAAACTAAGATGCAAACTTACAAATTTAATACAAAAAACCACTGGTTCTTAATCTTTTGGACATACCGAACCTCAAACAGTTTCATATGCCCATTCACCGAACCTTTCTTAATAATTTTATCATCTGCATTGACAAAATCTGGTCGTGAATCAAAGGAGTCGGGTGTGTGTCTTGACCTCTGCTGAACCCCAGAGACTGACTTACTGAACCCCTAGTGTTTGACTGAACCCAGGTAAAAAAACACTGACATAAACATACATTTTTGAATTAGTAAATGTTACATGTATACAAATAAACAAGACGTTATTTTAATAATAAACAGTAGACTACAGAGATGAACTACAAACTCTTCATACAAAAAAAGTTTATTTTCTGGATACTTAAATCAACCAAAGCTTGATATTACATATAATTGCATTAGTCAATGTCTATATTTTAAGCCTATGAGGTATATAAACTTTATATAATAGCATATTAAAAAAACACAATGTTTAGAAAGACAGATCAAGTTAGATTCATTTTCAATGAAAACAATTGTACAACTCAATTATCATGAGTAAAAATAGTAGCTGTTCCTAGCGCTTAAGTATTATCTAGTGGACATTTTAGAAACTAAAATTATTTTAAGTTAACTTTTTAAACTTCAACTGAACATTACCTTCTGAAATCTAAAAATGTTAACATTTTTATCAACAATAAGTGCTAAGATAAACTGAAAATACTTCCCTTTGATTCAATACACCAAATAACTCTGAAGACCTATTCCTAAAATTGTGCTTGAACATACAATGTTCTCATTGTTCAAAAATCTTAAACCAGCATTATTGTACAATCCAATTCACTAAAGAAAAATTAAACTCGTATTCATTAAAATAATGTTATAATTTGCAAATTTTAGGCAAAATGAAGAATATAGACATGATTTTTAATAACTTAAACTTTTAAAAATAGAATAGAATCTCGTAGAAAAAAGAATTGCGCACCAAGCGAACGCCAAAACAAAATGTGCATAATAGTGCGTAATAATATTAGTACTTTTTAAATTTACATGCGTTTTTTTTTTTGTTTTTTTTTTTTTGAGAAATCGGAAATAGCGTAAATTAGTACTTCCCGTCAATGGAAAATTTGACAGAAGGTAGAGAATTAGATCTTTTACTAACATATGAAATTTCATTTATCTATTTGAAATAGTACTCAAGTTATAGGCTTTTGAAAAATTCAAAGTAGAAAAAGTACCACTTCCGGTTATTGGAAATAGCTCAAAAGTTGATACGGATCTACGATTTTGATAAAATACTTATATATGAAATTTCATTAACCTAGCTATAACGGTACTCAAGTTATCGTGTTTACACACACACAGACAGACACACACACACACACACACAGAGAGACAGACACACAGACATACGGACAAGATTGCAAAATTATGTTTTTCCGTATCAGTGAGGTGTCAAACGTCGAGATTTGTAAAAACCTCGATTATTTTTTTTGCACGATTACAAGACTTTCTATATACTTCGTATATACGCGTAAGTAAAAAAACAAGTAATTAAAAAAAGTCTAGTGACAATTTTAGCGCAATTTCCTTAAGTTATCTAAAAATAGCTCTGTCGGAGCGTAAATCAAGAGCAGGGTTAGTAAAACCATTGGTTAGTTATTAAAACGTTTTTTATTAATTTTTTTTTCAGTATTTTACATGTTTTATTTACAATAGAGTTACATGACTAAAAACCATTGCGTGCCCAGCTACCGAACGTGACGTCGCAGCCATTGAACGTGATGGCGCAGCTATTGAACGTGATGACGCGTGTGGTGTGGTTGCATAAAATGCCTACTAATTCGGTCCAAATTTTAATTAATTAAAAAAAATGTTGTGACCGAACGAAAGGATATTTTTGAAAACTTTCTTCGGCAATATCGTTCTAAATTATGGCAGGAATCGATTGGTACATGTTTCAAGTCGCTAAGTGGTCTGGTTGCCGAGATATGGGCCAAAAACTGCTTTTTTCGAGTTTTTTTTTGGCTTTTCCGGGAAATCCATGAAAGAAACCCGGAATTTTTATAGCCTATGCTCATGCTCGTAACTTGCTGAACATAATTGCTTTTGGAACTAGTCATCGATATTGCTTCGTTGAGGAGGAGATACGACTTAAAGCTGCGGACACACATCCATCCATTCATACATCCAGAAATGACGGGTTAATAAACGCAATTCTCCAGAATGGAAATTGCGCTAAAAACAAAACACAAAGCTAGAAATTATTAGAATCGCTGCTAACTACTTTAATCACTGCCAACATTACAAAATTTAAAGGAAAACAAATTGGTTATACTTTCTAAAAACTTGTATCAAAGCATGAACATTCTTAATATTTCTTAAACATGTTTTTAATTACAAAACCTGTGTGTGAATGTAGAGGGAGGGTGGGGGGGGGGGTTAACTTGTTATTATGTATGATCATTTCAGCAAAAAAAATATGTTTGTCAGCGACAGAGTGACCAAACAGTTGAGCATAAGAAATCCTTGAAGCTGACCACATGACAAGTCATGTGCTGCAGCTTATATAATGGAATGAACACGTCCTTATTCAAATATACCATCATGAGAAGGTTGGATGGAGGGGTTTGTCCACAAACGACATCACACTACTAGGAACACTACTAGGGGGTTTAGACTTTTGTGACCATGTGACAGTGGGAGGGGAGGGGGTTGTTACAGACAATGACAACATAATTTTGCATTTTTTAGCGCAATTTCCATTCTGGAGAATTGCGTTTATTAACTCGTCCTTTCTGGGAATGTATGGATGGATGTGTGTCCGCAGCTTTAAGTCGTATCTCCTCCTCAACGAAGCAATATCGAGGACTAGTTTCAAAAGCAATTATGTTAAGCAAGCTACGAGGGTGAACATAGGCCATAAATATTCCGGGCTTCTTTCATGGATTTCCCGGAAAAGCCAAAAAACCTCCAGAAAAAGCAGTTTTTGGCCCATATCTCGGCAACCAGACCTTTTAGCGACTTGAAACATATACCAATCGATTCCTGCCATAATTTAGAACGATATTGCCGAAGAAAGTTTTCAAAAATATCCTTTAGTTCGGTCACAAAAAATTTTTTGAGTTAATTAAAATTTGGACCGAATTACTAGGCATTTTTATCCAACCACACCACACGCGTCATCACGTTCAATAGCTGCGCCATCACGTTTAATGGCTGCGACATCACGTTCGGTAGCTAGGCGCGCAATGGTTTTTAGTCATGTAACTCTATTGTAAATAAAACATGTAAAATACTGAAAAAAAACTAATAAAAAACGTTTTAATAACTAACCAATGGTTTTACTAACCCTGCTCTTGATTTACGCTACGACAGAGCTATTTTTAGATAACATAAGGAAATTGCGCTTAAATGTCACTAGACTTTTTAATTAACTTGTTTAAAGTAATGTCGTAGAAACAGGTGACCTTGCCCCATGGACTGTCATATTCAAAAGAGAATTTTCATTTTTTACAAATCAACATTACTTTAGCAAACTGAAACCCCAGGGAGATTGGTGGAATCCAGGTGTCTCTAGTATATATATATATATATATATATATATATATATATATATATATATATATATATATATATATATATATATATATATATATATATATATATATATATATATATATTTAAATATATAATATACTAGACTACCCGTTATCTAGTTCGAGGGGGGTGCAAATCGAAAGGTTGAGGGGGGATGCAAATCGAAAATTTGAGGGGGGTGCAAATTGAAAATTTGAAAGTTACGCCTCTGGGGGGTGACACCATTAAGTGCCGCACCGGGTGACACCCGACCTCGCTACGCCAATGATATATATATATATATATATATATATATATATATATATATATATATATATATATATATATATATATATATATATATAGGGCTTAGGATCTAATGCACCACCTAATCCGCCAACGGGCTGAGATATGAGTTAAATAGTTGGATCCTTGAATAGAGTTTCCGAGTTTAAAAAAATAATCAAAATGTATCCCTGTCTAATCCTCATTCCAATGAGTGTTTCTTCCAGACTTTTTTCTCTGGGGGGGGGACTTGATATTTTTGGAAGGGGGGGGCGTTCAAAATTTTCCGGGGAGCGGACACTAGTAACAGTATATGTTTACTATATAAATACCATCTCGTTCTGCCATTAAGAAACTCCGATCCCATTTATCACGCTAGCTCTATACCTAACTTCAGACTTCAAAACACACACCGAAATATTTTGTATCTGGCATTATTAAATTATTTGTTATACTGTTATGCTGGGGGGGGGGGTATCTCTTTCCTTAATAACTAGAGTGTTAATTAGTTTTAACAAAAAAAAAATATTACGTTAATAAAAATAATAGTTCACTTTAGAATAAAATATAAAGATATCTTTTTGGTCAAAACTCAGCTATCAAGACCCTGCTATAATAAACAATGTTGATATCCTTCAAGGTAAACACCCGGAAACAACTGCACATATTAACCCAGTTATGTCCGTGTTTTAATACACTTTTAATATACTTGGCACAGAATCACAGATAGCTGATAGAGGTCCTCTCCATAAATGACGTCAAACATTTTTTGACGTGTTTTACCGGATGGTAAAGTACAATTCAATAACACGATGCGCACTTGCAGCAAAAGGGGCTAAATGCTGAGCACGTACCAGATCGCACCGATGCCAAACGATGCGATACAATAGCCAGATTTGTCAATAAGAAGCATGAGGTTTTTTGTGTTATAAATTTGAATTAACCGCTTTGCTTGTGACCGGCTAACCAGGTCCGGCTAGATTTCCTAACATTTACTACCGTCGATAAGATGGGAAGCTTCGTTGTTTAAAGGCGATATTGTGGAGGTTCAGCCAAACCTGTTCAACCTAGATGAGAAAGATGTTGTTTAACAGGTTTGACAAGGCTGTGATTATGATATTGTTTGTTTTCTCTGTGTTTTTAATATTAGCTTTGTCTTTCTAAGACGAATTAAAAGTGATTCTCGCCCACTACCTTCACCAAGGCTATGTAGGCCTACAATTGATGTCTGAGGTCTATGGAGCTGAGTTTCCCTGGGTCACTGCCCCCCCACCCCACCCCCATGTACCCCACCCCCATCTCTACCCCGGACGAAATTTGATAAAATATAATTTATTGACCTACAGGTCTCATGCCGGGGTTTTAAAGCCTCTGAATGGTTCATTTAAAAATGTTTTTACACTAGCCCTACCTAAAGTATAGTCAGACATTACGGTAGGTGACGACGATACAAGATGTGGTCGGCGGCCCGGTCACTTCTGATCATAATATCTGTCCCAGTTTGTGCCCAAGACACAAGACACAGAAGCTATCTGTTTCAATGACCGCGGTCAGGACTGTGCCCAGCCGCCTTGTTTCCCTAAAGTGACTTGAACCCGGTTTCGAACTCGAGACTTTTTGGGGTTAGCAGTCTAGCGCTCTACCGCTGGGCCACACCGTCTCGCCAGCCTCTTCTACTCTCCCCTAACATCACTCAGTCGCCTACCTTAGAGCTGGGTGTACTCGAGCACGGGATCCGAACTCTAGACTCTCAAATTAGCATTCGGGCGCTCTACCGTCCGGTCATGCCGTCCCATTAACAAATTACACAACGTTTTAATTATTATCTAAATTGCAGTAGTTGTTTTAATTTATTTTATATAAAATATATTTGTTAAATATTTGTGTAAGGTCGAGTTCTGCTTAGAGGTATATTTTGAGAACATGGGATTACCTTTCGTGTTACTGCTGCTGGTTGGGACAGCTACCTGTTCTATCAAGGTAAGTCACAGGTAACTAAACTATACCAATGATCATCATCTTTTTCCGTTCATGCCCAAGTGTCCAAGACCCATGCGAAAGGTGGAGTAGAGTTCTTCTACTTCAGAGACATATGAAAGGATAGTTTGGTCAGCACTATGCCCAGCCGCCTTTGTTTCCCTAACGTGAGTTAGGTACCCATCAGAGTTGGTTAGACTCAGGGGCATTCTACTGACTTGAATCTGGATTCGCACTCGAGACTTTCGGGTGAGCAGTCTTGCTCTCCACCGCTAGGCCACGCTGTCCCATTCTACCAATGATACGGAGTTAAGAAAAAGAAATAATCCTCTTTAGACCTAGCGATCCATTAGGCAGATGAGGCAAAGTTCATATGTTTCTTTACCTCTGCATATGAAGGGATAATGTGGTCAGAAGTATACCAAGCCGCCATTACTTTCACTAATTTGAGTCAGGTACTCATCAAAGCTGGATAAACTCAGTGACGTTTCACTGATTTGAACTTGGATTCGAACTCGAGACAAGCGGTAGAGCGCTTGCCTGCTTACCCGAAAGTCTCGAAATTATTTGTAGCTGTAAGAATCATGTGTAGCTGTAACAATTATTGTGTACTTGTAGCAATTATTAATTCTTACAGTTCGACGCCCCCTTAGACTACAACCTATTTTTCTGGCAAGGATTCAACTCCTTACAATACAACTTGGACATTCGTATCCCACGTGACTCCCGCAGGCGAGTGGCTGTTCACATGTTTCAATAAATTAAAACAAAACCCACACTTTTTGTTTTATTTTACTTGAAACAATCCTCTCTAGCTTTCAGCTTTTTATTCGCAAACAGTCTTCACTCTAGATTTCAGCCTAAAGCCATCATTTTATTCATAAACAATCTTCACTCTAGATTTCAAACAATAGCCATTATTTTTATTCACAGTCTTTCCTCCAAGTTTCAGGCAATAGCCATTACTTTATTCACAAAATATCCATCGTGAAGTATTATCCAGCTTAGCGATATTTTTTTATGTTCAGACAAACAGGAAAATGTTATTTTAAGAATTTACGCCATGCGAATTAATTATCATAGTTAGCTGCAAACAATTATCGCCATATAGTTTTGAAAAATGTCTATTTGTTTTGTTTTTAAACTATTTGTTTTGAGAACGTCGAACGACTGCTCACCCGTATGTATATACTAAGAATGCCATGTTCACGCCCGTAGACGTGTGACCCACATAGAATATGCAGCTATCTTATTCTTCGTTAATACTAACAAGATAGAAAGCGATTTCCTCAACTCAAATGAATATTACGTCATTTTACGCCATATGGCCCGATGACTCCTATTTCAGCCTGTTTTTCTTTCTGGATTTGCTGATTTGCTTCCATGGCTGGTGTCCGCCCAAGAACAAACCTCAAGGCAGAAGCTGTTTGATTTTGGAGTTTTCTCTCTTAGATGGGTTGCCGTCCCCAGCTAACTAGCCTCGTCTGCCCGAAGGTTCGAACCCTGATCTTTTGGAATTAGCAACCGTGGGTTCTCCTGCCAGACCATTCCGTTCCCTTGAGTATCTATCAGACTACGGCCGAGGAAACTGAACGCGACTTTTCACATAAGAACTGACCAAACAATTATTTTAAATCTCAACAGTTTTTAACCTCAATAAGTTTTCTCTCTCTCTCTCTCTCGCTCTCTCTCTCTCTCTCTCTCATATATATATATATATATATATATATATATATATATATATATATGTATGCATGTATGTATGTGTATATATATATATATATATATATATATATACTTAAACCAGTACCAAACCACTCCCACGAAAGCTTCAAGTGCCTTCTCCCTTACGACCCCCATCCCCAGGGCTGTAGAAAAGAATATCTGAATAAAATTTAGATACGTTGAAACAGATACCCTCCCATTGGTCTGAAAAGGCACTCATTTTATACATTTCATAATGTTTTTAACACTCTCATGATAATTAAAACGGCAGCAAATAGCATTAGGTACTTTAATTTTTTTTTGTAAATTATACACACGATGATTCATTTTCTTAATTTTCTCATAGATAAATCAGGTTTTTACAAGTTTTTATTTTAACTCACTTCTTCTGTCTGTCGTCAGTCTGTCGTCAGTCTAGATCGAAACGCTCGTGCGAAATTGCAGGCACTTCTAACTGACAGATACGGTTCGTAATTGATACGTGAGTCAAGAGATGAAGGCAATGCATCGTGACATTCAATTTGACTTGATTGGGTTCCTAATTAACTTTTTATGAAGTAATTAAAATTTGGACTGAATTAGTAGGCAGTTCTATCCACACGCGTCATCACGGCCGTGTAGGGCGTGGAGCGAGGGGGCTCTACGTCAAAAGCGCGTTATCACGTACAATAGGTGCGCGATGGTTTTTAGTTGGGTCAGCAGTCTAGTTCTTTACCACTAGTCTACGCCATCCATAATATACGCGTCATTAAGGCCCTCTTGGGCGTTGAGCGAGGAGGGCTCTACGATAAGACAGGGCAGAGAAAGGCAATAAAACGTGTCATCACGTTCAATAGGCGCGTAATGGGTCTCTTCCTAAATATTAGTAAAGGTATCCAATCTAATATATAAAGCTCAGTTCTGTATGTAACGCATTTGTTTGTCGTTGGTCTTGGATGGATTTAAGTGTTAGACAATTATCGTGCGCATTTGTCTAAATTTATGAGTTAAAAAATTACTATTGAAAGTGTTGGGAAATAATTTTCATTCTTTAAATTATAGTAATAATTGTCGGCATGTTTATTAAACACAAGTTTTAAAAAAATATCATCTTTTACAAAAATTCTAATTAAGTCTTTATTTAGTCCTATAGCACTTACTTCCCTTTGATAAATTAGGAAAACACAATTACTTCCCTTTATAAAACCATTGCATTAGTGGAAAATAATTTACTTTGTATTACTTTGTTTTGGTGTTGGGAAAAAAAATAATTACATAATTAGCGGGGATTGATCAAGTGCAAATGTTGTAGGTATTTTACGGATAAGCTTGGAGTATTAAAATTGTTCATTAAATTGAAACAGGCGCGTTCGTTAAAGTGAGTGCAAAAGACTATGAATAAGTTGGGGTACTATAGTCGTTCATTAAGCTAAAACAGGTGATTCCGCCCCGGGCGTTTATGTTCGCGTTAGTGTTTCTTTGTGTTTAGGTGGGTTTCCGTTAGTGGTTGCGTTTTGCTTTGGTTCGTTTTTGTTCTTTCTTTTTTCTTTTTTCGCTTTTGTTTGTGTTTTTTTGTTTGGGTTTGTATTTGTGTTTTTGGTTGGTTTTGCGTTTGGATTTGGTTTGTTTTCGTTTGCTTTTTCGTTGTTTTTTTTTTGGTATCGGTGTTTGTGGTTGGGTTTGTTGTTAGGTTTTTGTTTTCGTTTGCTTTTTTGTTTGTTTTTTCTTTGTTTTTGTATTGGTGTTTGTGGTTGTGGTTGGGTTTGTTGTTAGGTTTTTGTTTTCGTTTGTATTTGTAATTGTGTTAGCGTTATGTTTGCGTTGTGTTGTTTTGGTTGGTTGTGGTTTGGATGGGCAATGCCGGGTTTATGATGATTACTAAACACACAGGTAATGGTCTTTAACAGAAAGGTTTTTCACAGAAGCCAGAGCAGGGCCTGGCCGGGACGGCTAGTAGATACTAAAGTTATCCACGCTTTTCTTTATAGTAATTTAAATAGTAGTGTCTAATATTTAGGAAAAGACCCACGCTTTTCTTTATAGTTTTTTTTTTAAATAGTAGTGTATAATTTATTTTCTACTTTCTAGTGCATAATTACATAAAAGCTTGTTATTTTTTATGAATTTTTTTTTAATTGTGTTAACAGATTTACGATTGAGTTCTGCACTAATGTGCTCTGTACCATGGACAAAGTGCTTCACTTCAGGGCGCGGTTCGATAAACAGCACGTGGCCAGGTCGCATCGGCTGAAAGGAAAATGGAGTTCGGAGAACACAAGTGGAGTGATGCCTTTTGAGAGAGGGGGCGAATTCTCCATGAAAATTATCACCGGGCAGTCTAGATTTGAGGTATGGGAACGGTGGATCTACGGGGTTGCTATGAATGGTAATGAGGGAAGTGTTTCCACCCCCATCCCCCCCCCCCCCACCCCATAAAAAATACGAATAAAATTGGAAAATAATTCTGAGAAATATATAGTTGTGAAGATCCCTTTGGGACTTTGTGGCCTACGGGACAGCTGAAGTAGAGTTCACCTGTTTCCGTGATCTCGGTATGTGAAAGGATAGTGTGATCCGCACTATGTCCAGTGTGAGGGGGGGGGGGTGATGGTGATGAACCCGGGCCTGGTATAGTTTTGTGTGAAATCACCACACACAAGTCCAATTCAGGACATGATGTTCTTTATTTACACAAAACAACTTCCTACTTCTATCTAACTAGTCTATACTATATGATGTCTACTAATACAACTAACTAAACACTTCTATCTAACTGCGCATCCCTAACACACTATCTACCTCTAACTTTTACATCTTTACCCTAGCGCTACTTATCACCGTCTGCTTTCTACCGATATCTATCACCGTCTGTTCTCCCTCGCTCCAGTGGTCAGCTGATGATCTCACGTGACCGGGTTAGCTCCTGTGTTTCTATTGGTCTGTTTAACTAACTAAGCTATACTCTGTTTCTACCATCTACTTGAATTCTAAACTAAACTAGCGTCATCCCACCCAGCCGCTTTTATTTTTCCTAACGTGAGTTAGGTACCCCCAGTGTTGGATGGACTCAAGATGGTTCTACCACTTTACCTAGGGACACTGGCTCAAATCTTTCGGTTTGGAAGACGAACACGCTACCATTCGACCACGCTGTCCCACGAGAAAAATATAGGCCTATCGAAATTTACTAAATCATTTTTATAATTTTTTTTTTAGCTTTTTTTTTAGCTCACCCAGCGCGCGTCGCTGCTATCCAGTCCATCCCACCAGAGCGGCGCAACATTTCACCAGCACGTTATCAGTCGTGTATTTTTACTTTCTCGTATATACGTAGTATAGAGAAAGTATTGTAATCGTGCAAAAAAAAAATCGAGATTTTTACAAATCTCGACGTTTTACACCTCACTGATACGGAAAAACATAATTTTGCAATCTTGTCCGTATGTCTGTGTGTGTGTGTGTCTGTCCGTGTGTGTGTCTGTCCGTGTGTAAACACGATAACTTGAGTACCGTTACAGCTAGGTTGATGAAATTTCATATATAAGTATTTTATCAAAATCGTAGATCCGTATCAACTTTCGAGCGATTTCCGATAACCGGAAGTGGTACTTTTCCTACTTTGAATTTTTTAAAAGCCTATAACTTGAGTACTATTTCAGATAGATAAATGAAATTGCACATGTAAGTAAAAGATCTAATTCTCTACCTTCTGTTAAATTTTGAGTAATTTCCGTTGACTGGAAGTAGTAATTTACGCTACTTCCGATTTCTCAAAAAACTAATGTAAATTTTAAAAGTACTAATAATATTGCGCACTATTATGCGCTTTTTTATTTCGCGTTCACTTGGTGTGCAATTAATTTGTCTACGAGATTTTATTCTATTTTTAAAACTTTAAGTATTTAAAATGGATTAAAAATCATGTCTATAGCCCGAGTTCCCATCCCCTGTTATTTTATATAAAAATATTCGAGAAAGTTTAGGGGAGATCACTACCGGTTTATTATATGTGTGACCTAGTTTTCTAGAACTGAGTTACTTAAGTGTAAACATCGCTGACGCTGCACCGGATCTTTGTTTTTGGGTGCGAGTTTGTCCACACTCCCGCCCAGTGGGCGTGCTGCATGAACGCCTTGTGTGTACGTTAACCACCCTCTGTAATAGTGAGGTACAGCACACCACCTCGGCGACTGCTCAGCTGTCATTAACGCCTGTTACACTACTGCTTAAGCGCCTGATGTATCACTTTGCTTGCTTTGTAGTGTCCCACCGTGTCCCTAGTATACGGTGCTCTTTAAAATGAAAGTAGGCGCAGTAGTGCTCACGAGGGAACACAGCGAGCTCATGGACGCGCCTGATTGGACAACGATTATAGTAACCCACCACAATGAATGGCGTTCTTTAAAACGAACATCGGCGTTATAGTACTCACGTAGGAGTGACTCCTTCGCTCCATCCCCCACCCCCACCCCGAGACATGTCTCCAACATATCCATCCATTAATTGTTGTTTTTTATGTCCTCAGATCTACATTGACGACGTATTATTCTGCCAGTATAATAGCGTTTTTTATAGAGAAGCGCAATATGTTATGAAGATTTCTGGAAAAGTGGAGATTACACATTGGACTGAATTTGTGAGTTGTTGTTTTTTACTTTCTCGTATATACGAAGTATAGAGAAAGTATTGTAATAGTGCAAACAAAAATCGAGATTTTAACAAATCTCGACGTTTTACACCTAACTGATACGAAAAAACATAATTTTGCAATCTTGTCCGTATGTCTGTGTGTCTGTGTGTGTGTCTGTGTGTGTGTGTGTCTGTGTGTAAACACGATTACTTGAGTACCGTTACAGATAGGTTGATGAAATTTCATATATAAGTATTTTATCAAAATCGTAGATCCGTATAAAATTTTGAGCGATTTCCAATAACCGGAAGTGGACTTTTTCTACTTTAAAATTTAAAAAAGCCTATAACTTGAGTACTATTTCAGGTAGATAAATGAAATTTCACATGTAAGTAAAAGATCTAATTCTCTACCTTCTGTCAAATTGTGAGTAATTTTCGTTGAACGGAAGTAATAATTTACGCTATTTCCGATTTCTCAAAAAACGCACATAAATTTATAAAGTACTAATAATATCCCGCACTATTATGCACATTTTATTAGGCGTTCACTTGGTGTGCAATTCTTTTTTTTTACGAGATTCAATTCTACTTTAAAAAGTTTAAGTAATTAAAAATGGATTACAAATATTGTCTATGTCCTGAGTTGCCATCCCTCGTAGTTTCATATTGGAATATCCGAGAAAGTTTAGGGGAGATCACTCCCGGTTTTTTTTTCTATGTTCGGATGTTTTTCCCTGCCTTAGGAATTTTTTTGTCTGTATGTGGGTATGTCAGCGGTTCATTTTTCTGTATGCGTTGTTTATAATTTTCGGATTTTTCGAATGTCAATTTTTCTGTTGTTTTTTTTCTTTTAGGTGGATAAATCAATGGTAAGCTTCGTTTCTTATTACTAAGCTGTAGCTTCGCAAGGTGGGGGTGATGGTACTAGTCTGGTACTAGTACTAGACGGTACTGACAACCACCTCCCCCCCCCCCACCGTCAAGAAACTCTTCGTGAGACTCCCCAACCCCCGACCCCCCCCCCCCCCCCCCATAAAGAGCGGAAAACAGTGCTCTACGAAAAAGTAATTTAAAAATAGTTATTCTAATAAAGGCTAATAGTTCTTTGATAAGCTCCTTTTATAAGCTTTTTTTAGTACACCATTTCTGTTTCTTTGTCTGTTTGTTCATCTGTCCGTTTGCCTTTCCGTCTGTCCGCCCTCCCGTCTGACTGAGAGCCCGTTCGTCTCTCTGTCTGTCTCTTTTTTTCCTTTTTTTGTTCCGTTATTTGTTTCTTTGTTTGTTTCTTTGTTTGTTTGTTTGTGCCTAATCTTGTACCGCAATTTTGAAACCATCTAATGCAGCGATTTGGGTTTTTCGGGATCCATTCGTCGCTGATGACAGTGCAAGTATGAACGTTTATTTAAAAAACTACTAAATTCAATTTTTGAAAGTGAAAATAACAAGAATAAATAATAGCAATTGCTCGATCAGCTATCTGACGATGGTGAACTGTTGGTAACGCTGTTGGTTTCTTGTCTGAGGATCGACCACGAAAGTGGCAGAAAATTATCTTTTTGACTTCGAATGTTCTCGTGTTTTTAAACAAAAATACTTTTACTTGTATTTGGTGTAGACTTCATTGAGAACGAATAGCTCAAAAGTAGAAAAGAAAAAAGGGTGAAAAAAACTTTAAGCATGATAACTATTCAAATTGCCTGAAATTTTAAAACTAATTACAACTAATTATTTTGCTTTCTTTAATAAACGCATTGGTCGCCAAAATAAACAATAGATTTAATGAGCGCTCTGTGCTTTTATAAAGAAAGCAAGTTGTTTTTTGTTGTTGTTTTTTTTTTGTCGGAGCATAATATAAACGCTTATTATTACAGTTTGTTGTTGTTGTTTTTTTGTTGTTGTTATTTTTGTTATTTTTTTGTTATTTTTTTCTTGAATTCCCGCTGCCTCTTCTACTATACTTGCTTTACATTTAAACTGTTTTTAAATATTTGTTACAGTTAAGTCCCCTCACTATCTACTGGGGATTTAAGCGCTACCCCATAGCCGGTGATAGACTACAAATTGATATTCTATTGGCTGCCAACTGGAAAAGTTTGGGAAAGTAATATTTAATTTTTAATTCCCTCTTTTCAGTTCTAATTGTAATACAGTAATCTCTTGGTTATCGCGGTTAACAGGGATCAAAGCCGGCCGCGATAGGTGTAAAACCGCGAGGCAGTGTTACTCTCACATTTTGAACATTTTTTCGTATGTATATTATCAATAGGTGTATGAAACCATATAAGTGCATATGTTATTGTTGAAATTTTAAAGAATAGTTTCAAAACTTTAAAAAAATATTAATTGTATAAATAACATACATAAATTAATGTATAAATAATGTTTAAAAAAAGATACGTATGTGTGAGTAACATAATATGTAACTAAAGTATACCTACATACTATAATTTTTTAGAACTCTTTTATTCTCATAACAAGGTACGTAACTCGCATCTGACAATCTATATAAATAATTCTCTTCTGGGAGTCGTTAGAAAACAAGCTGCAAGCGCGCCTTGCAGTCCCCTCACTTTCTCTCTATCACTACCACCCCCACCCCACCTCATATGGTTTGGTGAGCTGTGGTCACGCTAAATATTTACAAATCGTAGAGCCCGGTTTAGTGACGGCTATTAGGGGCAGATAATTTAGTTTAAAACGATTTTAAACTTACATGAGGTAACTAAGAGGAGGCTGCTTTCACGGGGGGGGGGGGGGGGGGGTAGGGTCGGGGTAAGGGGAAAGGGGGGAGGGGTTAGTGTTTTAAAGCAAATATTTTCAGTGGCTGCATTGGTACTGTCGAATTCACAAATTAGGAATTATTGAAAAGTAGAAAATAAAACAACTAAATAGCGGCGTATGATACGCCGCGGGTCGGCTCGTATCTTTATGTTTATCTATGTCGATGAAACACCTGCACAGTACGATGTAGGTGGAAAAGTTAGAAGATGAAGATGATTTTCGGCACGGGTTATTGGGAGCAGTGTTTCTTCCAGACTTTCTTTTCCGGTGGTGGGGGAGGGGGGCATTTGAAATTTTCGTGAGAGGGTGGGGGCACTGGTAAAAGTATATATTTTCATTAAATTCTCATAAGTGTTGCGTCAGCCTTTCTTCTGAGATCGCAGCAACGCGAGTGACGAGTACGCTAGCTTACGGAGCTCATTCTCTGATTTCTTGACCAGATTTCACCTGGATCTGAAAAAAATGAATGGCCGGCTTTGGGACAGTCAAATTATCTGTGAATTTTCCTGGCCTTCGTCGACATTCACACTCAAGTGTATGGATGAAAATCCGTGTACCCCAGGCGTAACCACAGTCACCTTGGAAGCCAGCAAGTGGTTCACGATATCGATTAACTTTTCCCTTAACAGCATGGTAAAGGTGAGTGACGTACTTAGCTTCACTTGGTCCTCTTTACTCCCTGTGGAGCATAGGGCATCAAGCATTGGCGGTAGTAGAAAAAAATGATTCATCGTGGAAATAATGTGGGGTCCTATCTACTGTTTTTCTGTCTATCTATCTGTCTGTCTGTATATGTAGTATATGTTGCAAATATAATGTACATGTAAATGTAATATATATATATATATATATATATATATATATATATATATATATATATATATATATATATATATATATATATATATATATATATATATATGGTCAGGTTCATGCGTTCCGCGCAAAAAGAATGCAGTAGGGCTCTTTTGCCGGAATGCCACTGGTGTCCATTATGGAAATCGGTCTACGGGCAAACGGCATTCGGGCAAGTGTGTTTTTTGTTTCGGGAAAATGTCTGGCTCCCATATATATATATATATATATATATATATATATATATATATATATATATATATATATATATATATATATATATATATATATATATATATATATATATATATATATATATATATATATATATATATATATATATATATATATATATATACATCAACTTTTCCTTTTTACCAGTTTTACTACAATCAAATTTATCTTGGAGAGATTCGCAGCAATTACGCCACTGTGCGGTCGATACACTTCCAGGGGAGTATTGATGATTATAAAATGAGGTTTTTTCCAGCTTCGGCACCTCAAGGATCTCCGCGGCGACAATAGCTTTCTAAAGCTGTAGCAACTGCCATCTATAACTGTTTAAAAGCCTGTGTTTTTATTGTTTCGTTATTTCAATGTGTTTGAGGTGTTATTAGTTTTATAAGAGTATAGTAAAACCATTAACATTTTACTTTTTTGTGAAAAGCATAGAAGCTATTCTATAATTTTTTTCGATGTTAAAATAAGATGGAAATGTTAACATCTGTATAAGTAAATCAGTTTTTCGCAGATTAAATGTTACTTCAATAACAATTTCTAAACGTGTTTTTTCACTGAAAACTTTTAATTATTTGCTTTTAGTTATTGACGGCCTGGAGTGACTGTCTAAAATTGCCGTGTATAATCTAATGAAGTGGCAAAAAATAATGGAAATTAATTGATTTCCATGAAATCTCATCTTTATCTCTAAGGCAAGACGCACGGGCTATTCAATATTAATGAGTAATTTTATACAGGGCAATGGTCGAATGGGTGATGGTCAACAGGGGAATGGCTAACAGGGAATGCCTACCCAGGTGATGGCCATTTTGGGAATGACAGCTGGAGAATGCTAGTGATGGCCAACCCAATGACTAGCTGGGGAATGACAACTTGGCAATGGCTAACTGGGGAGTACCATCTAATGATAGCCAACTGGGGAGTACCATCTAATGATAGCCAACTGGGGAGTACCATCTAATGATAGCCAACTGGGGAGTACCATCTAATGATAGCCAACTGGGGAGTACCATCTAATGATAGCCAACTGGGCAATGGCTAACTGGGGAGTACCATCTAATGATGGCCAACTGGGGAGTACCATCTAATGATAGCCAACTGGGGAGTACCATCTAATGATGGCCAACTGGGGAGTACCATCTAATGTTAGCCAACTGGGCAATGGCTAACTGGGGAGTACTATCTAATGATAGCCAACTGGGGAGTACCATCTAATGATGGCCAACTGGGGAGTACCATCTAATCATGGCCAACTGGGGAGTACCATCTAATGATGGCCAACTGGGGAGTACCATCTAATGATAGCCATTTGGGCAATGGCTAACAGAGGAGTACCATCTAATGATGGCCAACTGGGGAGTACCATCTAATCATGGCCAACTGGGCAATAGCTAACTGGGGAGTACCATCTATTGATGGCCAACTGGGGAGTACCATGTAATGATAGCCAACTGGGGAGTACTATCTAATGATGGCCAACTGGGGAGTACCATCTAATGATAGCCAACTGGGGAGTACTATCTAATGATGGCTAACTGGGCAATAGCTAAATGGGGAGTACCATCTAATGATGGGCAACCGGGCAATTACTAAATGGGGAGTACCATCTAATGATGGCCAACTTGGCAATGGCTAAATGGGGAGTACCATCTAATGATGGGCAACCGGGCAATTGCTAAATGGGGAGTACTATCTAATGATGGCCAACTGGGCAATGGTCAAGTGGGGAATAACAACTAGAGAATGCTAGGGATGGCCAACAACCCAATGACCAACTGATGCACGGCCAACTGGAGAATGTCAACTGGACAAAGGCTGATTAGGATTGAACTAACACAACAGATTTGCAAAAGAGTGCAGCACTAGATTCAAATGAGGAATAAACAAACCTCGATTGGACTGGTTGGTTTCCCATATTGCAGGAGTACAGAAAAAAAAATTTCCTTTTGATAGTTTAATTAAAATAATCTTTTTAAACTAGTACTTAAAGATATTTAAGGTAAATGATGACTCTGATACCATTGCTTGGAAACTACTAGCCATTATCATGTTTATGACACAGGCAATAGCTTTAAACTTTAAACCTAAATAGCATTCCTGTATGTCACTTATCATGCTCCTCCAGGTTGGGGGTTGTGTGATGGGTAACTACTCGTCCACATAAAACAAAATATAGTTACAGAAACCGAAGCCAAATCTGAAATTAATCCAGTCCTCGGAAGAACCAGGGCTCTACTTAGGAGCAGTATGTTGCAATGCAGCCAAATCCGCAAGGAAGCTACAGAGCCGACGCCCCTTCTTCAACCCCAAAACTATTGTCGCAAAAGAAACCTATCCTCATAGGAACATGGAACTTCAGATCACTGTGGGAAGCAGGGAAGTGTGCACAGGCAGTGAAAGAAATGCAACAGTATCATCTTACAGTGCTCGGCCTGTGCGAAACAAGATGGAACACCTTTGGAGAGACAAAATTCCAGACGGGAGAATCACTGTTATACTCGGGAAAAGAAAATGTGGACGACCCACTAGAGGCAAGCGTAGCCTTGCTATTGACAAATGAGGCAATAAAAAGCCTAATGGAATGGAAACATATGTCTGATCGAATAATTAAAGCTAGATTTGAATCCAGGTTTCAAAAGACCTCCTTTATCATGTGCTACGTTCCTAAGAACAACGCAGACGAGGAAGAAAAAGACCGCTTCTACGAAGAGCTTCAAGAAAAAAAAGGAGGAAGTGACGCTGGGTGGGACACACGCTACCAAAGGCTCACCCAAATATTACACGCCAAGCGCTTGAGTGGAAAGCGGAAGCGAGGGTGCCCAAGACAGACCTGGAGGCGGAGTCTTCTTGAAGATCTAAAGCCAACAAGGATGTCTTGGGAGACGGCAAAATTGATAGCCGTGGATCGGATGAAATGGAAGGAAATGGTGGAGGCCCTATGTTCCATAAGGAGCAAAGAGGACTAAGTCAAGTAAGTCAAATCAGTTATGAAAACTGAAATGTGTTTGAATGAACATTTGCAGTGCCTTACTAGTCACTTAACAGATTAGGCTAGCAGCTAGACTGGGATTTTGAATGGCTCTATAAGTTAACTATTCAATTCCTTTTTTTAAACTAAGATGCAAACTTACAAATTTAATACAAAAAAACCACTGGTTCTTAATCTTTAATCTTTTGGACATACCGAACCTGAAACAGTTTCATATGCCCATTCACCGAACCTTTCTTAATAATTTTATCATCTGCGTTGACAAAATCTGGTCGTGAATCAAAGGAGTCGGGTGTGTGTCTTGACCTCTGCTGAAACCCAGAGACTGACTTACTGAACCCCTAGTGTTTGACTGAACCCAGGTAAAAAAAACACTGACATAAACATACATTTTTGAATTAGTAAATGTTACATGTATACAAATAAACAAGAGGTTATTTTAATAAAAAACAGTAGACTACAGAGATGAACTACAAACTCTTCATACAAAAAAAGTTTATTTTCTGGATACTTAAATCAACCAAAGCTTGATATTACATATAATTGCATTAGTCAATGTTTATATTTTAAGCCTATGAGGTATATAAACTTTATATAATAGCATATTAAATAAACACAATGTTTAGAAAGACAGATCAAATTAGATTCATTTTCAATGAAAAAAATTGTACAACTCAATTATCATGAGTAAAAATAGTTGCTGTTCCTAGCGCTTAAGTATTATCTAGTGGACATTTTAGAAACTAAAATTATTTTAAGTTAACTTTTTAAACTTGAACTGAACATTACCTTCTGAAATCTAAAAATGTTAACATGTTTATCAACAATAAGTGCTAAGATAAACTGAAAATACTTCCCTTTGATTCAATACACCAAATAACTCTGAAGACCTATTTCTAAAATTGTGCTTGAACATACAATGTTCTCATTGTTCAAAATCTTAAACCAGCATTATTGTACAATCCAATTCTTTAAAGAAAAATTAAACTCGTATTCATTAAAATAATGTTATAATTTGCAAATTTTAGGCAAAATGAAGAATATAGACATGATTTTTAATAACTTAAACTTTTAAAAACAGAATAGAATCTCGTAGAAAAAAGAATTGCGCACCAAGCGAACGCCAAAACAAAATGTGCATAATAGTGCGTAATTTCTTCTTTCTTCTTCTTCTTCGTTCTTAATTTTTGAATATGGTGAAGGATTCAGACAACAAGTCCAACTTCGTGGACAAACCGGACTGTGGTTTCCAGTTTGTCAGGTGTCCCATATAATTTTTCCCTGAGAAATCGGAGATAGCGTAAATTAGTACTTCCCGTCAATGGAAAATTTGACAGAAGGTAGAGAATTAGATCTTTTACTAACATGTGAAATTTCATTTATCTATATGAAATAGTACTCAAGTTACAGCTTTTGAAAAATTCAAAGTAGAAAAAGTACCACTTCCGGTTATTGGAAATAGCTCAAAAGTTGATACGGATCTACGATTTTGATAAAATACTTATATATGAAATTTCATTAACCTAGCTATAACGGTACTCAAGTTATCGTGTTTACACACACACAGACAGACACACACACACACACACACAGAGAGAGAGAGAGACAGACACACAGACATACGGACAAGATTGCAAAATTATGTTTTTCCGTATCAGTGAGGTGTCAAACGTCGAGATTTGTAAAAATCTCGATTTTTTTTGCACGATTACAAGACATTCTATATACTTCGTATATACGCGTAAGTAAAAAAAAAAACAAAACACAAAGCTAGAAATTATTAGAATCGCTGCTAACTACTTTAATCACTGCCAACATTACAAAATTTAAAGGAAAACAAATTGGTTATACTTTCTAAAAACTTGTATCAAAGCATGAACATTCTTAATATTTCTTAAACATGTTTTTAATTACAAAACCTGTGTGTGAATGTAGAGGGAGGGTGGGGGGGGGGGGGGGGTTAACTTGTTATTATGTATGATCGTTTCAGCAAAAAAATATGTTTGACAGCGACAGAGTGACCAAACAGTTGAGCATAAGAAATCCTTGAAGCTGACCACATGACCAGTCATGTGCTGCAGCTTATATAATGGAATGAACACTTCCTTATTCAAATATACCATCATGAGAAGGTTGGCTGGAGGGGTTTGTCCACAAACGACATCACACTACTAGGAACAAAGGGGTTCAGACTTTTGTGACCATGTGCAGTGGGTGGGGAGGGGGTGGTTACAGACAATGACAACATACTTTTGCATTTTTTTTAAAGTAATGTCGTAGAAACAGGTGACCTTGCCCCATGGACTGTCATATTCAAAAGAGAATTTTCATTTTTTACAAATCAACATTACTTTAGCAAACTGAAACCCCAGGGAGATTGGTGGAATCCAGGTGTGTCTAGTATATATATATATATATATATATATATATATATATATATATATATATATATATATATATATATATATATATATTTATTTATTTATTTATTTATATATATAATATACTAGACTACCCGTTATCAAGTTCGAGGGGGGTGCAAATAGAAAGGTTGAGGGGGGATGCAAATCGAAAATTTGAGGGGGGGGGGTGCAAATTGAAAATTTGAAAGTTACGCCTCTGGGGGGTGACACCATTAAGTGCCGCACCGGGTGACACCAGACCTCGCTACGCCACTGATATATATATATATATATATATATATATATATATATATATATATATATATATATATATATATATATATATATATATATATAAATAATATATATATATATATATGTATATATATCTATATATATATATATATATATATATATATATATATATATATATATATATATATATATATATATATATATATATATATATATATATATATATATATATATATATATACAGGGCTTAGGATCTAATGCACCACCTAAATCCGCCAACGGGCTGAGATATGAGTTAAATAGTTGGATCCTTGAATAGAGTTTCCGAGTTTTAAAAAAAAACGAATCTTCCAGACTTTTTTCTCTAGGGGGGGGGGGGGGCACTTGATATTTTCGGAAGGGTGGGGGGGGGCTGGTCAAAATTTTCCGGGGAGCGGACACTTTTAAAAGTATATGTTTACTATATAAATTCCATCTCGTTCTGCCATTAAGAAACACCGATCCCATTTATCACGCTAGCTCTATACCTAACTTCAGACTTCAAAACATACACCGAACTATTTTGTATCTGACATTATTAAATTACTTGTAATTCTGTTATGCTGGGGGGGTATCTCTTTCCTTAATAACTAAAGTGTTAATTAGTTTTGACAAAAAAATATTACGTTAATAAAAATAATAGTTAACTTTAGAATAAAATATAAAGATATCTTTTTGTATCAAGACTCAGCTATCAAGACACTGCTATAATAAACAATGTTGATATCCTTCAAGTTAAATACCCGGAAACAACTGCACATATTAACCCAGTTATGTCCGTTTTTTAATACACTTTTAATACACTTGGCACAGAATCACAGATAGCTGATAGAGGTCCTTTCCATAAATGGCGTCACGCATTTTTTGACGTGTTTTACCGGATGGTAAAGTACAATTCAATAACACGATGCGCACTTGCAGCAACAGGGGCTAAATGCTGAGCACGTACCAGATCGCACCGATGCCAAACGATGCGATACAGTAGCCAGATTTGTCAATAAGAAGCATGAGGTTTTTTTGTGTTATAAATTTGTATTAACCGCTTTGCTTGTGACCGGCTAACCAGGTCCGGCTAGATTTCCTAACATTTACTACCGTCGATAAGATGGGAAGCTTCTTTGTTTAAAGGCGATATTGTGGAGGTTCAGCCAAACCTGTTCAACCTAGATGAGAAAGATGTTGTTTAAAAGGTTTGACAAAGCTGTGATTATGATATTGTTTGTTTTCTCTGTGTTTTTTAATATTAGCTTTGTCTTTCTAAGACAAATTAAAAGTGATTCTCACCCACTACCATCACCAAGGCTATGTAGGCCTACAATTGATGTCTGAGGTCTATGCAGCTGAGTTTCCCTGGGGCACTGCCACCCCACCCCACCCCATGTACCCCACCCCCATCTCTACCCCGGACGAAATTTGATAAAATATAATTTATTGACCTACAGGTCTCATGCCGGGGTTTTAAAGCCTCTGAATGGTTCATTTAAAAATGTTTTTACACTAGCCCTACCTAAAGTATAGTCAGTCATTACGGTAGGTGACGACGATACAAGATGTGGTCGGCGGCCCAGTCACTTCTGATCATAATATCTGTCCCAGTTTGTGCCCAAGACACAAGACACAGAAGCTATCTGTTTCAATGACCGCGGTCAGGACTGTGCCCAGCCGCCTTGTTTCCCTAAAGTGACTTGAACCCGGTTTCGAACTCGAGACTTTTTGGGGTTAGCAGTCTAGCGCTCTACCGCTGGGCCACACCGTCTGATCTACTCTCCCCTAACATCACTCGGTCGCCTACCTTAGAGCTTGGTGTACTCGAGCACGGGATCCGAACTCTAGACTCTCAAATTAGCATTCGGGCGCTCTACCGTCCGGTCATGCCGTCCCATTAACAAATTACACAACGTTTTAATTATTATCTAAATTGCAGTAGTTGTTTTAATTTATTTTATATAAAATATATTTGTTAAATATTTGTGTAAGGTCGAGTTCTGCTTAGAGTCATATTTTGAGAACATGGGATTACCTTTCGTGTTATTGCTGCTGGTTGGGACAGCTACCAGTTCTATCAAGGTAAGTCACAGGTAACTAAACTATACCAATGATCATCATCTTTTTCCGTTTATGCCCAAGTGTCCAAGACCCATGCGGAAGGTGAAGTAGAGTTCTTCTGTTTCAGAGACATATGAAAGTATAGTTTGGTCAGCAATATGGCCAGCCGCCTTTGTTTCTCTAACGTGAGTTAGGTACCCATCTGAGTTGGGTGGACTCAGGGACATTCTACTGACTTGAATCTGGATTCGCAATCGAGACTTTTGGGTCGGCAGTCTTGCTCTCCACCGCTAGGCCACGCTGTCCCATTCTACCAATGATACGGAGATAAGAACAAGAAATAATCCTCTTTAAACCTAGCGATCCATTGGGCAGATGAGGCAAAGTGCAAATGTTTCTTTACCTCTGCATATGAAGGGATAATGTTGTCAAAAGTATACCCAGTCGCTTTTACTTTCACTAATTTGAGTCAGGTACTCATCAAAGCTGGGTGAACTTAGTGACGTTTCACTGACTTGAACTCGGATTCGAACTCGAGACAAGCGGTAGAACGCTTGCCTGCTTACCCGAAAGTCTCGAAATTATTTGTAGCTGTAAGAATCATTTGTAGCTGTAACAATTATTGTGTAACTGTTACAATTATTAATTTTTACAGTTCGACGCCCCCTTAGACTACAACCTATTTTACTGGCAAGGAAACAACTCCTTACAATACAACTTGGACATTCGTATCCCTCGTGACTCCCGCAGGCGAGTGGCTGTTTGCATGTTTCAATAAATTAAAACAAAACCCACACTTTTTGTATTATTTTACTTCAAACAATCCTCACTAGCTTTCAGCTTTTTATTCGCAAACAATCCTCCCTCTAGATTTCAGGCAATAAACTCCCATGGGTCTGAAAAGGCACTCATTTTATATAATTCATAATGTTTTCACACTCTCATGATAATTAAAAAGGCGGCAAATAGCATTAGGTACTTTGATTTTTTTTTAATTATACACACAATGATTCATTTTCTTAATTTGCTCATTGAAAAATCAGTTTTTACAAGCTTTTATTTAACTCACTTCCTCTGTCTGTTGTCAGTCTAGATCGAAACGCCCGTGCGAAATTGCAGGCACTTTTAACTGACACATACGGTTCGTAATTGATACGTGGGTCAAGACATGAAGACAATGCATCTTGACATTCAATTTGACTTAATTGGTGGCCTAATTAACTTTTTATGAATTAATTAAAATTTGGACCTAATTAGTAGGCAGTTCTATCCACACGCGTCATCACGGCCGTGTAGGGCGTGGAGCGAGGGGGCTCTACGTCAAAAGCGTGTCATCACGTTCAATAGGTGCGCGGTGGTTTTTAGTGGGGTCAGTAGTCTAGTTCCTTACCACTAGTCTACGCCATCCATTATACACGCGTTGAGCGAGGAAGGCTCTAAGTTAAGAGAGGGCAGAGAAAGGCAATAAAACCCGTCATAACGTTCAATGGGCGCGCAATGGTTTTTTAGTCATGTATCTTTATTATAAATAAAACATGTTAAGTACTGAAAAAAAATTCATAAAAAACGTATTAATAACAAGCTTTTATGTAATAATGCACTAAAAAGTAGAAAATAAATTATACACTACTATTTACATAACTATAAAGAAAAGCGTGGGTCTCTTCCTAAATATTAGTAAAGGTATCCAATAGATACTAAAGTGACCCACGCTTTTCTTTATAGTAATTTAAATAGTAGTGTCTAATATTTATGAAAAGACCCACGCTTTTCTTTATAGTTTTTTAAATAGTAGTGTATAATTTATTTTCTACTTTCTAGTGCATTATTACATAAAAGCTTGTTATTAAAACGTTTTTTTTAAAGAATTTTTTGTTAATTGTATCAACAGATTTACGATTGAGTTCTGCACTAATGTGCTCTGTACCATGGACAAAGTGCTTCACTTCAGAGCACGGTTTGATAAACAGCACGTGGCCAGGTCGCATCGGCTGAAAGGAAAATGGAGTTCGGAGCTGACAAGTGGAGTGATGCCTTTTGAGAGAGGGGGCGAATTCTCCATGAAAATTATCACCAGGCAGTCTAGATTTGAGGTACGGGAACGGTGGATCTACGGGGTTGCTATGAAGGGTAGGGTGGGAAATGGTCGTCCCCCCCGTCCCCCCCCCCCCCCATAAAAAAATAAGAATAAAATTGGAAAATAATTCCGAAAGGGATGTTCACATTTATATATTTAATATATACTTGTGAACATCCCTTTCGGACTTTTTGGCCTACGAGACAGCTGAAGTAGAGTTCACCTGTTTCCGTGATCTCGGTATATGAAAGGATAGTGTGATCCGCACTATGTCCAGTGTGAGGGGGGGGTGATGGTGATGAACCCGGGCCTGGTATAGTTTTGTGTGAAATCACCACACACAAGTCCAATTCAGGACATGATGTTCTTTATTTACACAAAACAACGTTCTTACTTCTATCTAACTAGTCTATACTATATGCTGTCGACTAATACAACTAACTTCACACTTCTATCTAACTGCACATCCTAAACACACTATCTACCTCTAACTTTTGCGTCGCTGCGATCCAGTCCATCCCACCAGAGCGACGCAACATTTCACCAGCACGTTATCAATCGTGTATTTTTAGATGTGTGACCTAGTTTTCTAGAACTTAAGTGTAAACATCGCTGACGCTGCACCGGATCTTTGTTGTTGGGCGCGAGTTTGTCCACACTCCCGCCCAGTGGGCGTGCTGCATGAACGCCTTGTGTGTACGTTAACCACCCTCTGTAATAATGAGGTACAGCACACCTCGGCGACTGCTCAGCTGTCATTAACGCCTGTTACACTACTGCTTAAGCGCCTGATGCATCACTTTGCTTACTTTGTAGTGTCCCACCGTGTCCCTGGTATAAGGTGCTCTTTAAAATGAAAGTAGGCGCAGTAGTGCTCACGAGGGAACACAGCGAGCTCATGGACGCGCCTGATTGGACAACGATTATAGTAACCCACCACAATGAATGGCGTTCTTTAAAACGAACATCGGCGTTATAGTACTCACGTAGGAGTGACTCCTTCGCTCCATCCCCCACCCCCACCCCGAGACATGTCTCCAACATATCCATCCATTAATTGTTGTTTTTTATGTCCTCAGATCTACATTGACGACGTATTTTTCTGCCAGTATAATGGCGTTTTTCATAGAGAAGCGCAACATTTTATGAAGATTTCTGGAAAAGTGGAGATTACACATTGGACTGAATTTGTGAGTTGTTGTTTTTCGGATGTTTTTCCCTGCGTTAGGAACTTTTTTGTCTGTATGTGGGTATGTCAGCGTTTCATTTTTCTGTGTGCGTTGTTTATAATTTTCGGCTTTTTCAAATGTCAATTTTTCTGTTGTTTTTTCTTTTAGGTGGATAAATCAATGGTAAGCTTCGTTTCTTATTAATAAGCTGTAGCTTCGCAAGGTGGGGGTGATGGTACTAGTCTGGTACTAGTACTAGACGGTACTGACAACCACCTCCCCCCCCCCCCCCCCCCCCCGCCGCATAGTGATAATATTACAAAGTTGTTTTGTTGTTTTTTTTGTTTTTTTTTTGTTATTTTTTTTTTTTTTTTTTTTTTTTTTTTTTTTTTTTTTCTTGAATTCCCGCTGCCCCATCTACTATACTTGCTTTACATTTAAACTGTTTTTAAATATTTGTTACAGTTAAGTCCCGAGGTTACCTACTGGGGATTTAAGCGCCACCCCATAGCCGGTGATAGACTACAAATTGATATTCTATTGGCTGCAAACTGGAAAAGTTTGGGAAAGTAATATTTAATTTTTAATTCCCTCTTTTCAGTTCTAACTAGAATACCCGTCATCCGTTGGATAACTGTGGGTTTCGGGGGTCATCCATCAAAAAACATCACGTCTGTCACTCAGAGGCATAGCGACCCTTCCCTGCGCCCGGGGACAAACTTTTCCATTTTAACCCCCCCCCCCAAGATTTCGATTTTCAACACCCCCCCCCCCCTCAAACTTTTAATGTGCATCCCCCCCCCCCCCCCACTCAAACTTTCGATTTGAACCCCCCTCAACCTTTCAATTTATTTTTCCAAACCATTTTGGCGCCCCAACATATGTCCCCCCCCCCGCCCCCCCCCCTTCCCCCCTCCACCTCCCTCCCCCCTCCTCCCCTCCCCCCGCCTCCCCTCCCCTCCCGCCCCCCCCCCCTCCTCGCTACGCTACTGTAGTGTCACTTATCGTCACAAAAAAACAGACCCCACATTCAAAAATATGTTTCTCTTCTTTTAAAAACACCGAAAACACCGATTTCGGACTATCCCTTCATATACTGACGTCACAGGTGACCTACTCAACTCTACTTCACCTGCCCAGTGTTCCGCCAAGTGTCAGACAACATGTTTTTATCGTTTAAAAAACGATTCCAGCCGAGCATGTCTTTGACCACACTATCCTTTCATATGCTTAGGACAAAGAAACAGATGAACTCTACTTCACCTGCCCTGTATCCTGCCAAGTTCAGATAGGCAACTTTATCATTCACATCTAAAAAAAAAAAAAAATTGAAAAAAAATATCATTGACATATTGGTCTAGAACCTGTACCACCCGCATGAGAGCGGACTACGCTACCAACTTAGCTATTTAATCGTGACGTCACAAATGAATTTTTATACTATACATTGAGTCTCCTTATGCAACTTGATTTACGCGCATAGATCTAGATCTAAGTCTAGTAGATCTAGTAGTAAATTTCAAATTAAATTTTATCTTAAATTAGCCAAACAAAGATTTATATAAAATAATTAAGGCCTGAAATAGATTCTAGATGTATTAAGGCCTGAAATAGATTCTAGATGTAGAATTTACATTAAGTCTAGATCTAGAATTTACATTGAGTCTAGTGACCTAGATCTAGGCTAGATCTAGATCTAGGCTAGATTCATAACTTTCCTTCGACAGCTGATCTTTAGATCTAGAGAAATTTATTGTAAAACTAAATGAAAAAAGACAGTTTAAAATTGATATAAGTGTTGGAACGTAATAAATACAGCAAACGGACGTATTGTTAAAGTTATGACCGACAGAAATTAGATTTAGAACGCGTTAAACTTTTGAATGGGAACACAATTTTCTTCGATAGACGCCGCCATTTTATTGTACTAAAGAGTAAACAAAAACTGTGACGTCACGGTCCCGCCGAGTGTAGTGGTCGTTCTAAACTTTTTAAAAAAATGGGTTACTCTGCGTATGAATAAATCAATAAATTAATTAACGTCTTTAAATAAATGTGTGATTAACAGTCTGTCTTAAAACAAAAAATTTTCTCTACCTACATACTATTTTACAGCTTTCCACGATGAGTGCAACCTAGCGAGATAGTCAATCAGACAAACAAACAAACAAACAAAAAAACAAATAAATATTCAAACATGTAAACAAACTTGACTTTTAGTAGTATATAGATAGATTGTAATACAGCAATCTCTTGGTTATCGCGGTTAATAGGGATCAAAGCCGGCCGCGATAGGTGTAAAACCGCGAGGCAGTGTTACTCTCACATTTTGAACATTTTTTTTCGTATGTATAATATCAATAGGTGTATGAAACCATATAAGTGCATATGTTATTGTTGAAATTTTAAAGAATAGTTTCAAAACTTAAATAAAATATTAATTGTATAAATAACATACATAAATTAATGTATAAATAATGCTTTAAAAAAGATACGTGTGTGTGAGTAACATAATAAGATGTAACTAAAGTATACCTACATACTATAATTTTTTAGAACTCTTTTATTCTCATAACAAGGTACGTAACTCGCATCTGAAAATATCTTAATGTTTATCTATGTCGATGAAACACCTGTACAGTACGATGGAGGTGGAGAAGATGAAGATGATTTTCGGCACGGGTTATTGGGAGCAGTGATTCTTCCAGAATTTCTTCTCCGGTGGTGGGGGAGGGGGGCACTTGAAATTTTCGTGCGAGGGTGGGGACACTGGTAAAGATACATATTTTCATTAAATTCTCATAAATTTTGCGTCAGCCTTTCTTCTGAGATCGCAGCAACGCGCGTGATGAGTACGCTAGCAAACAGAGCTCATTTTCTGATTGCTTGACCAGATTTCACCTGGATCTGATTAAAATGAATGGCCGGTATTGGGCCAGTCAAATTATCTGTGAATTTTCCTGGCCTTCGTCGACATTCACACTCAAGTGTATGGATGAAAACCCGTGTACCCCAACCGTAACCACAGTCACCTTGGAAGCCAGCAAGTGGTTCACGATATCGATTAACTTTTCCCTTAACAGCATGGTAAAGGTGAGTGACGTACTTAGCTTCACTTGGTCCTCTTTACTCCCTGTGGAGCATAGGGCATCAAGCATTGGCGGAAATAGAAATGAATGCTTCATCGTGGAAATAATGTGGGGTCCTATCTACTGTTTGTCTGTCTATCTATCTGTCTGTCTGTATATGTAGTATATGATGTAAATATGATGTATATGTAAATGTAAATGTAAAATGTATATATATATATATATATATATATATATATATATATATATATATATATATATATATATATATATATATATATATATATATATATACATACATATATATAATGTTCAATTCTGTATATTTATTTGTAAAATGTTTGTTAAATGTTTGTAATCGAGGATTGCAGAGGAATAATAGAAAAAAGAAAAAAATTTATACTTCCACGGAGCCAAGTGTTAGATTATTATATTGCTCATGGTCTAAATTTATGAGTTAAAAATTACTATTCAAAGTCTTTAAAAACAATTTTCATTTTATATACTTAGAATAATAATTTTTAATTATGAACATTACATAAAATTTTTTAAAAAGTGTATCAACGTTTATAATATTTCTATAATTGTGTCTGAAATGTATTTGCATAACGTCCCTTGATTTGGAAAACACAGTTACTTCCCTATTTTAAAAAACCCATTAAATCGGGGAGAGAAAGAATTTATTTTTTATTACTTTGTTTTGGTGTTAGGAAAAAAATAATTACATAATTAGCGGGGATTGATTAAGTGCAATGTTATTGGTATTTTTAATACTGCATTTTATTTGTTCCATACACTGAACGTACTGTTTTCTTCTGATTGTTTTTAATCAATAACAGTTAGAAAGCCAGGTCCTTCGTGTCCTAAATGTTTATTTCTTTCCGTTTACGGAAAAGCTTGGAGTATTATAATTGTTCACTAAATTGAAACAGGCGCGTCCGCCGACGCCCCAGCAGGGTTCGATTTGGCGCCCTGGGTTAACCTGTGAGCCCTTTGGTGCTTAATTTCGCTTTAAACAGTGCGATAGACTATGGATTAGAAAGGTTATTATAGTCTTTAAGTGAATCTAATCCGGGCGTCTTCTGTCGCCCAGACAATATGCTATTTGGGGCCCCGGGCCTCCCGTGTTCGGTTTGGCGCATACGTTCGTTTAAGTGAGTGCAAAAGACTATGAATAAGTGGGGGTACTATAGTCGTTTATTAAGCTGAAACAGGCGATTCCGCCGGCGCCCCAGCATGGTGCGATTTGGCGCACCGGGCTAGACTGTGAGCACTTTGCGTTTATGTTTGCGTTATTGTTTTCTTTGTGTTTAGGTTTGGCTTGCGTTAGTGGTTGCGTTTGCGTTTTGATTTGGTTCGTTTTTGTTCTTTTTGTTTCGTTTTCGTTTGTGTTTTTTTCTTTGGGTTTGTGTTTGTATTTGTGTTTGTGGTTGGTTTTGCTTTTGGATTTGGTTTGTTTTCGTTTATTTTTTCTTTTGTGTTTGTATTGGTGTTTGTGGTACGGTTTGTTGTTAGGTTTTTGTTTTCGTTTGCTTTTTTGTTTGTTTTATCTTTGTGTTTGTATTGGTGTTTGTGGTTGTGGTTGGGTTTGTTGTTAGGTTTTTGTTTTCGTTTGTATTTGTAATTGTGTTAGCGTTATGTTTGCATTTTGTTGTTTTGGTTTTGGTTGGTTGTGGTTAGGGTGGGCAATGCCGGGTACACAGGGCATGGTCTTTAACAGAAAGGTTTTTCACAGAGGCCAGAGCAGGGCCTGGCTGGGAGGGCTAGTATATATATATATATATATATATATATATATATATATATATATATATATATAGAGAGAGAGAGAGAGAGAGAGAGAGAGAGAGAGAGAGAGAGAGAGAGAGAGAGAGAGAGAGAGAGAGAAAGAGTCAGGTTCATGCGTTCCACACAAATAGAATGCAGTAGTGCTCTTTTGCCGTAATGCCACTGTTGTCCATTATGGAAATCGGCCTTCGGGCAAACGGCATTCGGGCAAGTGTGTGTGTATATAGTATATATATATATATATATATATATATATATATATATATATATATATATATATATATATATATATATATATATATATATATATATATATATATATATATATATATATATATATACATATATATATACATAAAAACATTTCCTTTTTACCAGTTTTACTACAAACAAATTTATCTTGGAGAGATTCGCAGCAATTACGCCACTGTGCGGTCGATACACTTCCTGTGGAGGATTGATGATTATAAAATGAGGTTTTTTCCAGCTTCGGCACCTCAAGGACCTCCGCGGCGACAATAGCTTTTTAAAGCTGTAGCAACTGCCATCTATAACTGTTTAAAAGCCAGTGTTTTTATTGTTCTGTTATTTCAATGTGTTTGAGGTGTTATTAGTTTTATAAGAGTGAAGTTAAACAATTAACATTTACTTTTTTTGTGAAAAGCATAGAAGCTATTCTATAATTTTTTTCGATGT